TAAATCGTCAGGGAGGAGTCAGGTCTCCTGCTCTCCATCGGGCGGCAGAGGAATTGTGGCTGTGGGCTCACGAGCACCTTCGCTCATTGAGAGCAGCACACATTCCGGGCTACTTGAACGTAGGAGCAGACCTCATGTCAAGAGGGGGTCCTCGAGACGACGAGTGGTGTCTGCATCCAGACATTGTTCTCCAGATTTGGGAACAATTCGGGAGAGCCGAGGTGGACCTATTCGCGTCACGCGTGAACGCGCAATGTCCTCTGTGGTTCTCTCTGAGGGAACAGGACGAACCGCCACTGGGAAGGGACGCCTTTGCGCACCAACCGTGGCCGAGAGTTCTCCTGTATGCATTCCCTCCGCTGTCCTGCATTCTCCCACTGCTAGCCAGGGTGAGGTCAGGGGGGCTGTCAGTGATACTGGCACGATAGGGAAATTGGCTGGCACGATAGGGAAATTGCCCATAATCGGCCAACCACTGAAGGCCTGGCTGCTGAGAGGGACAGGCTAGAGCGCCGTGGGTTATCTGATGCAGTGATCAGGACCATACAGGGTTCACGTGCCAGTTCCACTTCTAAGATGTATGCCAGTAGATGGAACGTGTTTTCACGATGGTGTGTCACACAAAGTGTGGACCCCATGAGCTGTCAGGTGGAGAGTATTCTCTCTTTTCTGCAGCTCATGTTTGATAAGCAAAAATCGCCTGCCACGATTAGAGTGTTTGCAGCAGCGATTTCAGCTTGTCATGAGGGTTTTGGCAGAGACAATGTCTTTAGTCACCCTCTAGTGAAATGCTTCCTATTAGGAACGCGGCGACTTAGGCCAACACCTAGAGTCACGCTTCCTCAGTGGGATTTGGCTTTGGTACTCGAAGCGCTATGTAGTCGCCGTTCGAGCCATTGAATCAAATACCCCCCAAGATGCTGTCTATCAAGACAGCACTGTTGCTCGCTTTGACTACAGCTAAGCGGGTCAGTGATTTGTGTGCTCTTTCGACGAGACCTGACTGCCTGGCCATCAATGGTGACCTGAGCAGAGCAGTGTTACGTCCTAACCCGGCATTTGTGCCGAAGGTTATTAAGAGTTCATATAGGTCACAGACCGTGGAGCTGTGGGCTTTTTCTCCTCCTCCTCATAGAGAGAGGAGTGAGGAAAAGCTCCATCGCCTGTGCCCGGTACGCGCTTTGGCGTGTTACGTCGAGCGCACAGCAGCGATTAGGTCATCGCCTCAGTTGTTTGTGTGTCACGGTGCGGCTGCACTAGGTAGACCACTTTCAAAACAGAGGCTGTCTCACTGGCTTTGTGAAGGCATTGAGACAGCTTATGAGGTAGCAGGGCGGCAATTGCCTCAGGGTATCAGAGCTCACTCCACTCGTGGAGTAGCGGCTTCTACTGCCCTTTTCAGAGGAACGGGAGTAGAGGATATCTGTAGAGCAGCATCCTGGTCGACGCCGTCTCCATTTATCCGTTTCTATCTCTTAGATATGTCTTCCAATTCTCTGGCTCGATCTGTACTCAGCGTGGCTGAAGGGAGATCTTGAGCAAGAAGGAGAGGAGAAGCAGGACTGTGGACACAGGTTTCCATCAGGTCCGCTTTGGTTAGGAAGACGTGTTTTTGACAGATGTGTTTTCTAACTCTTTGGCTCGGTCTGTACTCAGCATAGCTGAAGGGAGATCTGGAGCTAGGAAGAGAGGGAAAAGCAGGACTATGGACTGGGTTTCCATCAGGTCCGCTTTGGATAAGAAAACATATTTTGTGGCATGAATCCTGACTGACAGGCTCAGTACAGTAGAGGCATGCGTGGATTAACAGAATATGAGGTCATCTATCTGCTCGTTCAGTTAGTATGACTCATGTTTTTGTTCCTGCCCACTAATCTCTGGGATTCCATTGAGTGAGTGAGGCGGTCTACCGTGTTCATAATGTAGAGTGACATTTGATGTCATTCCATTAGTGGTCGGTAGTGTTTTCACGGGATATTGAGGCACATCTATCTGCTAGTACAGATTAGTATGGCTTCTATTCTGGTGATCTGCCCACTAGTCATTGGCATTGCCATTGGACTAGGTGGGGCGGGTCTTTTAACCGATGACGCGGTATATTGTGACGCCCATAGGGGTTTTTAGTTGCAGTACTGCGGGACTCGGTTACAGCCATTGCTGGGCTTGACTTTCTCGTTTTGATGGGAAGTATTAGGCTCGGCAGGGAGTACATTTTGGAGCGCTACGCTCCGCCTTAAACCATTAGGAGCAGAGCTCCCCTATGGGGCGGAGCTCCACGATATAGAACGATTAGTTACCGGAGTGTAACTCCAGTTCTATGAGTGGAGCGGAGCCCCATAGGACTTAAGGCCCTGCCGACCCTCTCTAGTCTCGCTGAAGAAAAATATCTCGGGAGGCTGATTGAGGGGAAGCGTCCCCTCTTATAGGGACACCTGTACTCCTATTGGCTGTAGGTGTGTGCATAATTTTGTCTCAGGCTGCTGCTGCCTTAGGGCAGAGGGTAAACCATTAGGAGCAGAGCTCCCCTATGGGGCTCCGCTCCACTCATAGAACTGGAGTTACACTCCGGTAACTAATCGTTTAACAGTTGTTGTGACTGTCAGAGCTGGACCCTGTTTCCAGTTGTGACTGTCAGGCTTGGACCCTGCGTTTTTCCCGTTTTGTGACTGTCAAGCTCTGGACCCCGCGAGTTTCAAGTTTTTTTGTGACTTTAAGCTTGGCCTGCGAGTTTTACAGTTTTTGGACGGGGCGAGCTCGGCCCGCGATTTCACAGTTTTTTACTGTCAAACTCTGGCCCCCGGGGTTTCACAGTTTTGTACTGTCAGAGCTCTGAAAACCCGCTAGTTTTACAAAAGACTCCTTCTCCCGTCTGCCGTGGGGGCTCTACTAAATCTTCCCCGGTTGAAGGCGGGCGGTTGCCAGGGGGGATTGAATTAGCAATATAATTTCTAGACCCATATTTTCATGTTTAATGTCCACATCCCAGAAGGGTCCATTTATTACCCATTTAAAATGTCCTTCCTATTTTCCCTTGCTTTTTTCCTTGATCAGATCTGATGAATGAAGGTCTTTTTTAGGGGATGAAATGTCAATCAGATCGGTTAGGGAGCTTCAAAGGGGCAGCTCAGCCTCACATCTAGCCTGGTTAAACCAGACGGAATGCTGTACTCACATGGTGTGCTCAGTCTGTGCAGCGTTCAGTCTGGTTTAACCAGGCTAGCTCCCATTCACCGTCTCATTAACATGATGAATCTGATCAGCCAGAGATTAGTCTACCCAGACGGTCATATTAACCAGGATGTAGTGACATACAGACAGCCTCAGGCCTCAGGCAGGGGGAAAACCAGGCTACATTCTCTCTATGCAAAATACCATCCAACAACCATCCAACAAGCAAATTATGAGAAATATTAGCGGTTAAAAGCAATAATCTAATTTACATTGGATGATGATACACATTATGATCGAAATAGACGAGTGGGTTTCTGGTATAACAGGATTCAAGATTTCCTGTGATCTTGGTAATAATACGAAAATACAGTATGGTGGTGAAATAGAAAATTAAAATAGGAAATGTAATTTCTATCATAGATAACATTGTGCCACTTCAAAGGGGAACTTTTATTTCTCAATAGAGAGCTTGAAACTTGAAACTGAACTTGAAACTAATTGCATCAGTCACAGTTTCAGTAGGTTGTATAACCAAAGAGAGGTTAACCCTGAGGTTAGCCAGCTAATTAATGGCTCTATTTTGATGTTGAACTCCAGTCAGTGATTATTGTAGCTCTACATCCCTTTTTTATTGTCATACAGCAGCACGTAACCTACTACCATGGACCAGAAGGAAATCCCTTAACTGGCTCTGTCTCACTTCCTAACCCCCTGACCCCCAGTCCAGTCTGGACACAGGACTACATAAGCTAGTTAGGAACAGTCATGGAAAGAGGGGGAGAGAAAGTGAATGAGAGAGAGCGAGGGCATTCGTGTTCGTTTCACCCCAGCTCTAAGCCCCTGTGCGGTTAGAGAGTCGAGGGCGACGGTTGCGTTAATTTACAAAATTCACTTTTAATGAAAGGAAACTTAATCTGGATTGGTTATTAATAGAATATTCCCCCAAGCATTAAAAGGGGTTGGAAAACACTTTCATGTGGAATAATTAAGACCGTTTGCCTTTTTTCCCACTAATTAAGACGTGTTATATTTTATTATTTCTTATTGTTGTCCAGAAGGAACCTGCAAGTAAGCATTTCGTTGAACGGTATACACCATATGTATCCTGTACATACAACAAACAACTGGAAACTTGTATCTGCTTTGATGCGTGTGACTCTCTGGATAAACTGAGTGAAATTGTCAAATTACTGTAGCAGGGTTGGTTAGTTAGTGTAACGTCATAGTACTGTAGCAGGGTTGGTTAGTTAGTGTAATGGTCATAGTACTGTAGCAGGGTTAGTTAGTTAGTGTAATGGTCATAGTACTGTAGCAGGGTTAGTTAGTTAGTGTAACGGTTATCGTACTGTAGCAGGGTAAGTGTAACGTCATAGTACTGTAGCAGGGTTAGTGTAACGTCATAGTACTGTAGCAGGGTTAGTTAGTGTAACGTCATAGTAATGTAGCAGGGTTAGTTAGTGTAACGTCATAGTAATGTAGCAGGGTTAGTTAGTGTAACATCATAGGAATGTAGCAGGGTTAGTTAGTGTAACGTCATAGTAATGTAGCAGGGTTAGTTAGTGTAACATCATAGGAATGTAGCAGGGTTAGTTAGTGTAATGTCATAGTAATGTAGCAGGGTTAGTTAGTTAGTGTAACGTCATAGTAATGTAGCAGGGTTAGTTAGTTAGTGTAACGTCATAGTACTGTAGCAGGGTTAGTTAGTTAGTGTAACGTCATAGTACTGTAGCAGGGTTGGTTAGTTTGTGTAATGGTCATAGTAATGTAGCAGGGTTGGTTAGTTAGTGTAATGGTCATAGTAATGTAGCAGGGTTGGTTAGTGTGGTGTCATGCAGTGTAAGAAGATGTATCAGCGGTAAGACTAAGAAGGTTTCTCTCTCTGTGATCTCCCTCTTCAGTACCTGAGGATCTCTCTCTGGAAGAGAGGGATGAGCTGTCAAACATCCGGCGGAGGAAGAGAGAGCTGCTGGATGATATTGAGGTGGGTAGCCTTGAAGTTGCTGTGGCTCGGCTTAGTAGCTGGCAAAGCTTTGAGGAAGAGTATTGTGTTTTTCTGACGTTCTCATGTAGCTTGTATCATTTTCTCCGAATGATTATTCCATGTCTCTGTTCATAAGGTTCATGGTCTAGTACAGTACTGCCTTCACTCTTGAATAATCTTCTCTGAATGAAGCCTATTCCAAGATACCAATTATATTTCCTTTTCTTCCTCACTCAGCGCTTGAAGTTTGAGATAGCTGAAGTCATGACTGAGATCGAGCAACTAACGTGTGTAGGAGAGAGGTGAGTGAACAGCCCGTGGTCTCATTCACTGGTGCTCGCATTTGATTTTCACTGTTCTAACTAGAAGACTGAACAATTGTGTGCAGTGCTTTCAATCAGGTGATCTGTGCCTATGCAGTGATTTCAATCAGTCTTAGCTGGTGTACCATATCTAATTTCCATACCCAAATGTGACCAAACTATTTTATAATCTCGTCTATATGCCTGCTCAGTTTCCCGTCATTAGTTGATTTAAATATGGCTCAACGTAAACAGCACTAATGGGTCGGTCTGAACAGCTGAACGTTAAAAAGGTACCTTTTTACATGGAAATAAATGTTTTTTGAAGTTGGTTGGTTGTATTTAAGGTTATCATGGTTTTTCTTCGATGTCATGTCTCACAGCAAAACGACACAGAGGAACAAACAGATCGCCATGGGGAGGAAGAAATTCAACATGGATCCTAAGAAGGTATTTTCAGGTTTAAATGTTTATGACCAGAGCCTCAGGGTTCAGCGATGGCCACATCTTCAGTCTTTTATTTCCGCCCTGGAATAGCTTTTGGCGGTGTTGTGTCCAGTAATGGACCCCTGTGACAGAAGAAGCTATGTTTACGTTTATATGTATGACCCAGGCTTCATTGATGGCCTCAAGTCTTTTATTTCAGTCCTGGAATGGCTTTTCTGGGTGTTGTGTCCAGTAATGGACCGCTGTCATATACTACTGCTCTGCTAGAATCATTCACCCATGATTGAGATAAACAGCCCACTGTCTGTCGCCCATCTTGTATTCCAGGGGATCCAGTTTCTCCTGGAGAACGACCTTCTGCAGCACACCCCAGAAGACGTCTCTCAGTTCCTCTACAAGGGTGAGGGCCTGAACAAGACTGTCATCGGAGACTACTTAGGGGAGCGGTAAGCCATCCCATCTATCTGCCTAGTAGGGAAACTGTTTTCCCTCCCTGCCGCGCTGCAGATTTATGTCCACCACTTGATTAGTCCGTTCGTTCCCCGAATCTGAGGCCATCTCCGCGGGTTATTATGGTTTGGATTTATTGATGAAAGTGGCCACCTGGTTCCCTCGAAATACAAATCACCTTGCCAATGAGTCGTCGTGGGTGTCTCGTCTCCCCTCTCTATGCCACCCCACTGTGGACACCGGACTAGCCATAAAAAAGACTTCATTCGCCGCAACTCAGCCCAGAAACACACTGTCAGGTAACAGAGGTAAGGGGTCTGCTTGGGACTAGAGATACGGCATCTTATATGACTTACGTGCAACACTGTTGGCAGCTTCAGATGATACACTACATGACCAAAAGTATGTGGACACCTGCTCGTCGAACATCTCATTCCAAAATCATGGCCATTAATATGGAGTTGGTCCCCCCTTTGCTACTATAACAGCCTCCACTCTTCTGGGAAGGCTTTCCACTAGATGTTGGAACATTGCAGCGACTTGCTTCTATTCAGCCACGAGCATTAGTGAGGTCAGGCACTGATGTTGGGCGATTAGGCCTGACTCACAGTCGGCTTTCCAATTCATCCTAAAGGTGTTCAATAGGGTTGAGGTCTCTGTGCAGGCCAGTCAAGTTCTTCCACACGGATCTCGACAAACCATTTTTGTTGAACTGCCAGATCGGGAAGCATGTTTCATCACTCCAGAGAACGCGTTTCCACTGCTTCAGAGTCCAATGGCGGCGAGCTTTACACCACTCCAGCTGACACTTGGCATTGCGCATGGTGATCTTAGGCTTGTGTGCGGCTGCTCGGCAATGGAAAGCCATTTCATGAAGCTCCCGACGAACAGTTCTTGTGCTGACGTTGCTTCCAGAGGCAGTTTGGAACTCGATAGTGAGTGTTGCAACTGAGGACAGACAATTTTTATGCGCTTCAGCACTCGGCGGTCCCGTTCTGTGAGCTTGTGTGGCCTACCACTTTGTGGCTGAGCAGTTGTTGCTCCTAGACGTTTCCACTTCACAGTACTTACAGTTGACCGGGGCAGCTCTAGCATGGCAGAAATTTGACAAACTGACTTGTTGGAAAGGTGGCATGTTGAAAGTCACTGAGCTCTTTAGTATGGCCATTCTACTGACAATGTTTGTCTATGGAGATTGCATGGCTGTGTGCTCAATTTTATACACCTGTCAACAACGGGTGTGGCTGAAATAGCCAAATCCACTAATTTGAAGGGGTGTCCACATACTTTTGTATATATAGTGTATCTTTAGGAAAAGACCAGGAGGTTAGGTTATATGAAGAACAGAAGGAAAAGATGAATGGAGAGCGAGACAGTCTATGTATTGAAAGAGATGTGCAGCGTGACACAGACTGTGTGTGTGTGTTTGCATCAGACGTGTGCGAGTGTGTGCGTCAGACGTGGGTGTGTTGGAGTCAGTCGTCAATATCGAGTCTGCAGGTTAAATCTATGATCCCCATACGTTCCAGGTGCTAAGTCCAGAGGGAATGATCAAAGAGCCAGCCCACTCACTGGAAATAACTGTGTAAACAGGTGGGACGGCTATAGTACTACTGGTCCTAATTGAGTTTACGGGAGGATCTGGAACATATCATTACTCGCACTGTAATTACAGATGTGCGTGAGACAGATGCACCCTTATGGAAGGTCACGTTTTTTCATGTTTTGCACATGTAAAAATAATGTGAAACCATGTGGTTTTGGAACATTTCACATGTGATTGTATTTCACATGTGGATTAAAGGTGATTCCCTGAAAACTAAAATGAGTGGATAGGATGTCACCGAAACATCACAAAATAGTTGCAGTGTTTTCAACTTACATACATTCGGAAAGTATTCAGACCCCTTGACTTTTTCCACATTTTGTTATGTTACAGCCTTATTCTAAAATGGATTAAATAATTGTTTCCTCATCAATCTACACACAAAACCCCATAATGACAAAGCAAAAACAGGTTTTTAGACATTTTTTGCACATTTATTTAAAAAAACAACCTGATACCTTATTTACATAAGTATTCAGACCCTTTGCTATGAGACTCGAAATTGAGCTCAGGTGCATCCTGTTTCTATTGATTATCCTTGAGATGTTTCTACAACTTGATTGGAGTCCACCTGTGGTAAGTTCAATTGATTGGGCATGATTTGGAAAGGCACACACCTGTCTATATAAGGTCCCACAGTTGACAGTGCATGTCAGAGCAAAAACCAAGCCATGAGGTCGAAGGAATTGTCCGTACAGCTCCGAGACAGGATTGTGTCGAGGCACAGATCTGGGGAAGGGTACCCCAAAAATTCTGCAGCATTGAAGGTCCCCAAGAACACAGTGGCCTCCATTCTTAAATGGAAGAAGTTTGGAACTACCAAGACTCTTCCTAGAGCTGGCCACCCGGCCAAACTGAGCAATCGGGGGAGAAGGGCCTTGGTCAGGGAGGTGACCAAGAACCTGATGGTCACTCTGACAGAGCTCCAGAGTTCCTCTGTGGAGATGGGAGAAACTTTCAGAAGGACAACAATCTCTGCAGCACTCCACCAGTCAGACCTCTACGGTAGAGTGGCCAGACGGAAGCCGCTCCTCAGTAAAAGGCACATGACAGCCCGCTTGGAGTTTGCCAAAAGGCACCTAAAGGAATCAGACCATGAGAAACAAGATGATCTGGTCTGATGAAACCACAATTGAACTCTTTGGCCTGAATGCCAAGTGTCACATTTGGAGGAAACCTGGCACCGTCCCTATGGTGAAGCATGGTGGTGGCAGCATCATGCTGTGGGGATGTTTTTCAGCGGCATGGATTGGGAGACTAGTTAGGATCAAGGGAGAGATGAATGGAGAAAAAGTACAGCGATCCTTGATGAAAACCTGCTCAGGACCTCAGACTGGGGCGAAGGTTCACCTTCCAACAGGACAACGACCCTAAGCACACAGCCAATACAACACAGGAGGGGCTTCGGGACAAGTCTCTGAATGTCCTTGGGTGGCCCAGCCAGAGCCCGGACTTGAACCCGATCGAACATCTCTGGAGAGACCTGAAAATAGCTGTGCATTGAATCTCCCCATCCAACCTGACAGAGCTTGAGAGGATCTGCAGAGAAGAATGGGAGAAACTCACCAAATACAGGTGTGCCAAGCTTGTAGCGTCATACCCAAGAAGTCTCGAGGCTGTAATCGCTGCCAAAGGTGCATCAACAAAGTACTGAGTAAAGGGTCTGAATACTTATGTAAATGTGATATTTCAGGGGGGGGGGGTTTGTATATAAATTTGCAAAAATGTCTAAACCTGTTTTTGCTTTGTCATTATGGGGTATTGTGTGTAGATTAAGGGGGGAAAACAATTTAATCCATTTCAGAATAAGGCTGTAACGTAACAAAATGTGGAAAAAGTCAAGGGGACTGAATACTTTCCGAATGCACTGTATTTGACACACTTTAACATGTATGATTACATTGTGTATGTTTATTTATACAGTAACTATTATTCAACATGTCCTGAACTGGGATTTGAACCCACAACCTCTTGGTTCATGGCATTCCAATCTTCCTGCTATGCCACCATGTCTGTGTTAATAACTGATTTCCCCTGTATTCCTACACTTTAGACTTCAAAGTGAATCTCAGCTTTGTAAAAAATAAACTCATGAAATACTATTATATTTATCATAGTGATTCAGGAGTAACATTAAAACAGAATAATATGTCCCACCAACATTAGACAACTAAAGAAAACCCTCAAATTGCTGAAATAAGTCAATGAAATCAATGATGAGAGAATAGTCAGAATAACTGATAACTAAAATAGCAGTCAGATGGCACTCTGTTGCTAAGTGCAGAGATGTACTATAGGTAATTAATGTTTAGGGGACTTCAGAGAACGCTAAAGACTTTGTGGTTTAGCAGAAAGATAAGCATACCCCAAATCCAGAGGTTGTGAGTTCAAATCCCAGGTGGGATAATATTGAAAGTCATCATTTTAAATGCAATCATGTCATTAATGAAAGATTTGTACACTATTTTAGCTGAAAAGCATACAGCTTCCCTTAAAACCCCCATACTTTTCATTTCTTCCCTTACCAAGAAAACGTGAAAATGCTAATTAAATATAATCACATGTATTCAGTTTAGAGTTCACATGTTACCATCTTTTCACATGTGAGGACAATAACATGTTTTCACCTCATTTGCATTTTCACATGGTAAACACTTTCACATGTTAAAATCGAACTTGCATTTTCACATGTGAAAGACATTCACATGTGAAAATCGAATGTGCCGTTTTACATGTGAAAAACGTTCAAATGTTGTCACGTGTAGTTTCATGGCCTCACATGTTAAAATGTTGCATCCCCATGTTGTCAAATGTATTTCACGAGGTAATGTTTTCACGTGTAGTTTCACGTTATCACATGTCGCTTTTGCATGTTATCACATTAACTTCACATACAGTGGGGGAAAAAAGTATTTAGTCAGCCACCAATTGTGCAAGTTCTCCCACTTAAAAAGATGAGAGAGGCCTGTAATTTTCATCATAGGTACACGTCAACTATGACAGACAAATTGAGATTTGTTTTCTCCAGAAAATCACATTGTAGGATTTTTTTATGAATTTATTTGCAAATTATGGTGGAAAATAAGTATTTGGTCAATAACAAAAGTTTCTCAATACTTTGTTATATACCCTTTGTTGGCAATGACACAGGTCAAACGTTTTCTGTAAGTCTTCACAAGGTTTTCACACACTGTTGCTGGTATTTTGGCCCATTCCTCCATGCAGATCTCCTCTAGAGCAGTGATGTTTTGGGGCTGTCGCTGGGCAACACAGACTTTCAACTCCCTCCAAAGATTTTCTATGGGGTTGAGATCTGGAGACTGGCTAGGCCACTCCAGGACCTTGAAATGCTTCTTACGAAGCCACTCCTTCGTTGCCCGGGCGGTGTGTTTGGGATCATTGTCATGCTGAAAGACCCAGCCACATTTCATCTTCAATGCCCTTGCTGATGGAAGGAGGTTTTCACTCAAAATCTCACTATACATGGCCCCATTCATTCTTTCCTTTACACAGATCAGTCGTCCTGGTCCCTTTGCAGAAAAACAGCCCCAAAGCATGATGTTTCCACCCCCATGCTTCACAGTAGGTATGGTGTTCTTTGGATGCAACAGCATTCTTTGTCCTCCAAACACGACGAGTTGAGTTTTTATCAAAAAGTTCTATTTTGGTTTCATCTGACCATATGACATTCTCCCAATCCTCTTCTGGATCATCCAAATGCCCTCTAGCAAACTTCAGACGGGCCTGGACATGTACTGGCTTAAGCAGGGGGACACGTCTGGCACTGCAGGATTTGAATCCCTGGCGGCGTAGTGTGTTACTGATGGTAGGCTTTGTTACTTTGGTCCCAGCTCTCTGCAGGTCATTCACTAGGTCCCCCCGTGTGGTTCTGGGATTTTTGCTCACCATTCTTGTGATCATTTTGACCCCACGGGGTGAGATCTTGCATGGAGCCCCAGATCGAGGGAGATTATCAGTGGTCTTGTATGTCTTCCATTTCCTAATAATTGCTCCCACAGTTGATTTCTTCAAACCAAGCTGCTTACCTATTGCAGATTCAGTCTTCCCAGCCTGGTGCAGGTCTACAATTTTGTTTCTGGTGTCCTTTGACAGCTCTTTGGTCTTGGCCATAGTGGAGTTTGGAGTGTGACTGTTTGAGGTTGTGGACAGGTGTCTTTTATACTGATAACAAGTTCAAACAGGTGCCATTAATACAGGTAACGAGTGGAGGACAGAGGAGCCTCTTAAATAAGAAGTTACAGGTCTGTGAGAGCCAGAAATCTTGCTTGTTTGTAAGTGACCAAATACTTATTTTCCACCATAATTTGCAAATAAATTCATTAAAAATCCTACAATGTGATTTTCTGGAGAAAAAAAATCTCATTTTGTCTGTCATAGTTGACGTGTACCTATGATGAAAATTACAGGCCTCTCTCATCTTTTTAAGTGGGAGAACTTGCACAATTGGTGGCTGACTAAATACTTATTTTCCCCACTGTAAGATCACATGTTATCACATATGAAACACGTGGTCACGTGAAATTCATATGATTTTTCCGTAAGGGAGTGGGCGAATCTGTCTTGAACGACACAATCAGATGGGGTCTTTGGTTAATGTATTAATAATCCTGTCCTGATTTTCTAGCTTTTCTTATAACTCCTGTTGATACAATACAAGTTTAGATTTTCTTAGATAAACGTTTTAAGTGAGATATTGACAAAATTCTGTAATACATCAGTAATAAAACTGTTTTTATTAGTATGATCGGTTCTTAGAAGAGATTCTTTCTTAGATATTTCTCTCTTCATTTACTTGAAAAACTTTGTTTGTTGCTTTTTTGGTTCTTGGTTGCCTTCTGAAGTTAATGAGTGATACATAATACAATGAGTGTTCATGCTCTGGAACATTCAAATTGATGTTACATAAACAACATCAGAGGACCACATAGCTTCAAAGGTGATGTTGACTTTCTCTCAAACACCCCTTTGGTGCTTCAACAGATATCTCACAAAAGGCTCTTGTGTCTGGATTCTGTGTCTTGTTTTTCATCAATCAAATGCACGCTGGACCATGCCAAGCTTCAATAGGCCAGCACCTCGAGGTATTGGGATTCATTTCAATAGGCCAGCACCTAGAGGTATTGGGATTCATTTCAATAGGCCAGCACCTCGAGTTATTGGGATTAATTTCAATAGGCCAGCACCTCGAGGTATTGGGATTCATTTCAATAGGCCAGCACCTCGAGATATTGGGATTCATTTCAATAGGCCAGCACCTCGAGGTATTGGGATTCATTTCAATAGGCCAGCACCTCGAGGTATTGGGATTCATTTCAATAGGCCAGCACCTTGAGGAATTGGGATTCATTTCAATAGGCCAGCTATTAAGATTGCTTCTAGACTCTTGCAGCACTGCTTTGTATGTCAATGGAGGCAGAAAAATTTCTGGAATTCAAAGAAAAAGCATATGCTTGGGCAAAAGAGTCTCAATCGCTTCTCCAGGACACTTTTTATATTCCCTTGATAATATTCCCATTCCTTGCTCTGGAAAAATGCCTTGAGGAAAAAGCATTTCCTGATAGGATTACTTGTCCTTGTGTCCCCAGAGATGAGTTTAACCTCAAGGTACTGCAGGCGTTCGTAGAGCTCCATGAGTTTGCTGACCTCAACCTCGTCCAGGCCTTAAGGTGAGCTATGCGTTTCTCTCATCAAACAGGGAACAAACTGAACAAAACTGGTTTTATAAGGAACTGATGGAGACGTTTATACTTCTATATCGTATACACTTAATACTGATATTGAAAGTTAATTGTTCATTTGTGTTCAGTGAGGTGCTAAGTGTCAATGTTTCTGCTCTCTGTGTGTTGCAGGCAGTTCCTGTGGAGTTTCCGTCTGCCTGGTGAGGCTCAGAAGATTGACCGGATGATGGAGGCGTTTGCCTCGCGGTACTGCGGCTGTAACCCTGGAGTGTTCCAGTCAACAGGTCTGATCCTCAGCATTCAACACGAAGTCTACCTCCCAAAGGGCCCATAGGGCTCTGGTCAAATGTAGTGCACTATATAGGGAATAGGGTGCCATTTGGGACTTACCGATGGTGAATGTCCGTTCACTGTTTTAGATGAGTTCATATGTGTTTTAATGTAGCAGCATTTTGACCACCGTGGGTCTATGTCACCCTCAGCCTTGTTATTCAATTATCACTAATGAATACTTCCTGATCTTGATTGGAGACCATTGCCATCTGTCATGGGTCAAAAGTTCACATGTGGACTGAACAAGATTTTTGTTGGTATGAAAGGAGTAGGAGAGTACCGCTACGAGACACACACATCAGCAGAAGAGACTGCCTAGAGTGTATCCTGTTCACCAGATAGCCAGTGGAGACTAGAGTAGAGTGTAGCCTGTGGGCCAGATAGCCGGTGGAGACTAGAGTAGAGTGTAGCCTGTGGGCCAGATAGCCAGTGGAGACTAGAGTAGAGTGTAGCCTGTGGGCCAGATAGCCAGTGGAGACTAGAGTGTAGCCTGTGGGCCAGATAGCCAGTGGAGACTAGACTAGAGTGTAGCCTGTGGGCCAGATAGCCAGCGGAGACTGGAGTGTAGCCTGTGGGCCAGATAGCCAGTGGAGACTGGAGTGTAGCCTGTGGGCCAGATAGCCAGTGGAGACTAGACTAGAGTGTAGCCTGTGGGCCAGATAGCCGGTCGAGACTAGAGTGTAGCCTGTAGGCCAGATAGCCAGCGGAGACTGGAGTGTAGCCTGTGGGCCAGATAGCCAGTGGAGACTAGACTAGAGTGTAGCCTGTGAGCCAGATAGCCAGTGGAAACTAGACTAGAGTGTAGCCTGTGGGCCAGATAGCCAGTGTAGACTAGACTAGCGTGTAGCCTGTGGGCCAGATAGCCAGTGGAGACTAGACTAGAGTGTAGCCTGTGGGCCAGATAGCCAGTGGAGACTAGACTAGAGTGTAGCCTGTGGGCCAGATAGCCAGTGGAGACTAGACTAGAGTGTAGCCTGTGGGCCAGGTAGTCAGTGGAGACTAGACTAGAGTGTAGCCTGTGAGCCAGATAGCCAGTGGAAACTAGACTAGAGTGTAGCCTGTGGGCCAGATAGCCGGTGGAGACTAGTGTAGCCTGTGGGCCAGATAGCCAGTGTAGAATAGACAAGACTAGAGTGTAGCCTGTGGGCCAGATTGCCAGTGGAGACTAGGTTACAGTGTAGCCTGTGGGCCAGATAGCCAGTGGAGACTGCCTAGAGTGTAGCCTGTGGGCCAGATAGCCAGTGGAGACTGCCTAGAGTGTAGCCTGTGGGCCAGATAGCCAGTGGAGACTAGACTAGAGTGTAGCCTGTGGGCCAGATAGCCAGTGGAGAGGAAGGATAAGACACACCATATAACCACTAGTCACTGCACAGGGTAACCCAACCAATAATACCTCATACAATAATAATGATTAGAGCAATCTGAGGCAACAGATATTAATAATGATGATTAGGCAACAGAATTAAAGAACCCAGTCATCAACATTATAAGATTTGTAATAATCTGTATTCATTCCCAGAGGGGGAGTGTGTGTGTGTGTGTGTGTGTGTGTGTGTGTGTGTGTGTGTGTGTGTGTGTGTGTGTGTGTGTGTGTGTGTGTGTGTGTGTGTGTGTGTGTGTGTGTGTGTGTTAGGGTTGAATGGCGGGAACCCGGTTACCGAGATTTACCGCCCAAAACCACTCCCTTTTCCCGTGATAAATAACTGCGATAAACCGGTAAATTATAATAAATTATTTATATGAACAGCATGGCGTGAAATAGAACTGTTAAATTATAGCCTATGCGATGTCAAAATCGAGTTCTCTACGGCCTCTGCATGATGAATCAATGTTCAGGGAGAGCAGTTCACAATGCATGTGGACCTATCATCTCATGGTAACTTTTTTGTTGTGACAGGTAGGCCTACATTTGTTGCAGCATAGCCTATGCTACAGTAATATAAATAACCAATGCGCGTCTAATTTACCCATCTCCATCTGGCTTTTTTTATTGACACTGCAAAGTTTTAAAACAGCCTATCACTTGAATATCGTTGCTTTAAATCGGTGCACGCGTGAGCACTCTCTCGCAGTCTTTCTCTCTCGCCATCAACTCTAGATTTCGTAGCCTACCCCTTTCAGGTAATACATTCAATGCAGTATTAGCCTTATATTTTGCTAATTAATGATGGGTTATGCATAATAAGCTTCTAACCTCTGTCTCTTGCGCAATACACAATCACCTGTGCTCCGCTGGCCTCTCCATAAAATACGCTCTTGGAGTCCCTTGCAGGAAAAGCTAGACTAGAATAGCTTGCTGGACATGATCTTTTTTATGCATTTCTTATACCAATAGATTATTCGAAGAGGGACACAAGCTCTTTTTTGCTGAATGATAAGTACAGCAGCCAATAGAACTCACGGTTCATCATAAAGAAAGGAGGACCAAGGCACTCTTCAGATAATTAATTAAAAAGCCATTATTTTTATGGCATGTTCACTGGAAACACAGATTAAAGACTCTGACGCGTTTCGGCTGCATGGCCTTCGTCAGGGAGAGCTCACGGGTAGTTTGAAAGAAGAGCGAACTCGCGATTGCGGTAGGTTATAGCATTTATTTATTCAGACCCATAACCATTCAATCTATGTGAAGAGAAGTGAAAGCCTTCTGCATCTAATTCTAGTCCTATATTATTCTGGGATGAAGATAAGGACAATGGAACTTGTTTCATTTAACTGTTGAAAGCGAGGAAGGAATGAAGCAACAATAGAGAGAGAAAGAGGAGGAAGGCTAATAACATATTATGAAATGTGTATATGCGTCAGCCTACTAATTATACAAATAGGCCCTATTATATTTCAAAATTAAAATCAAATTCGCTAGCCTATACTTATAAATTTGTAGGCCGCATGTGCTGCACCAGAATCGCATGTTCTCTTCTGCTTTATCATGGTTTGAACGATGTGTGTAATTCAAGTCCATATAATACTGTATAATACAGTAATACAATTCACACTCAAAAAGATTAGCCAACTGGAGGTTGTTTCATTTATTTACCCAACAAAGCATATAGCTAGCTACATCTATGGGCTTTTATTTTTTTCTGTCGTGTGTAATGTGCAGTAGCCTATATCATATATGTATTGGATAACGGCACAATCATTTGGGCTTTTTTGGGGCTTGGGCTCATTAAATGTTGTTAATGTATATCTCACTGGTCATCCCCAAAGCCAACACCTCCTTTGGCCGCCATTCCTCCCAGTTCTCTGCTGCCAATGACTGGAACGAACTGCAAAAATCTCTGAAGCTGGAGACTCTTATCTCCCTCACTAACTTTAAGCATCAGTTGTCAGAGCACCTTACTGATCACTGCACCTGTACACAGCCCATCTGAAATTAGCCCACCCAACTACCTCATCCCCATATTGTTATTTATTTTGCTAATTTGCACCCCAGTATCTCTATTTGCACATCTCTTGCACATCTATCATTCCAGTGTTAATACTAATTGCACTATGGCCTATTTATTGCCTTACCGCCATAACTTGCTACATTTGCACACACTGTATATATATTTTCTGTTGTATTTTTGACTGGCTTACCTGGTTAAATAAAGGTGAAATAAAAATAAATGTAGGGCTCATAAAATGTATTTATGATATGACTCATCAGGCTGAGGTAGCATCATGTTTGAATGTTCATGCTGATCAAAGCTCTAATCAAATCCAGACATACAGTATTTATATGCTTTATAATGCTTTTGAATCACGCAGTGGAGGCTGTTGAGGGGAGGACGGCTCATTATAATGGCTGGAAAGGAGCAAATGGAATGGCATCAAACACCTGCAAACCATGTCTTTGATGTATTTGATACCATTCCACTGATTCCGCTCCAGTCATTACCATGAGCCCCTCCTCCCCAATTAAGGTGCCACCAACCTCCTGTGTTTGAATGACACTTTCGGTTTTGCCGGGAAATACAGGGTTTCCCGGGAGAAAAGTGATTTATTCGAACATTAGAACATTTCTAAAATACAGGGAAAATATTCAACTGGTGTGTGTGTAGACCAAAACAAAAAAGGCCTTAATGTCCCAAATCTCCTAGGCCAAATTACAATAGTCCCACAAAAAAAAAAAAATCCAGTTCAATCAATAATCCAAAAATAATGCACACTTCCCTGAACACAAATGTCCAAAAATCCGTCCTGCAGGGCAATAACTGTCCAGCAGCACTGAACATCAAAGGTCGCGTAGCGCAAAAAGAGAGAGTCGGCTTCAGTGTAAAGCACTGGAGAGAGAGAGAGAGGGAAAAGGAGAGAGAGCGAGGGCGATGGTCTGTCTGTTTTAGCTGTTGACTTCAGGCTTGCAGTTGCGCTCGTCTGTACGTTTTGTTTGACAAAGCTTCGTAACAATGTTTCTAGTAAAGTTAATCCATAAAATCCAAAGTTTGAATGGCCCCAACCGGTTCCAAACACATTGGGAGTAGAGCGATAACACAGGCGATCTAATTTATAACTTTTATAATCCAAGCACATAGAAAATGATCAAGGCTTCTGCAATGAGTGGCACACACATTAACTGCCGCCCGACCGAGACCACTCACACAGAGACGGAGGAGACATATTTACTTCCTCTTTCCTGACAGCTGGTGCGCTCTTAGTTGCAGCGCACCGTGAAGGCTCCGTGCAGGATTTCGACAACTTATCCCCAAACAATCTGGAATTATTTACGAAAAAGAGCTAGAGTAAGGATATTATTTCCACAATAGGTAATACATAGTTTATAGTTCATTTTCTATGCTAGTCATGGGTTCATTCAGAGAGAGGAGGGACTGTGCAGTGAATCTGTGCTCTGTTCACTCAAGACGTCTCTGCTCCGAGTAGAACAGACAGTCTGTCATGTATAGGGCAGAACAACAGTACCAGAACTGCTAGTACACAGATACTCAGTGGGGGGGGGCCCTGTGATAGAGACATACACTCAGTGGGGGGCTCTGTGATAGACAGTCAGGAGTGTGTCAGAGGGAAACTGAGAAGAATTATGATTTATTTAAAGACAGGGACTGGTGTGTGTCAGCAGGCCATTAATATACCAGCACTACAGTAGAATGTGTTTTTATGGAATTCTTAAAAGTCTCTAAGACATTGGTGAGGGGGACGGGGGTTCTAAGCTGACATATGGAATTGTTTTAAGATAATCATACTATGGATCATTTAGTTATTTGATTTAGAATTTTAGGACCTCTTTAGGTAGACCCAAAAAATATGAAACAATTATTTTATAAAATATTGAATTTGGCCTTTAGTACTATAGCCCAGAGAAACGCATTCATAAATGGCAAAAAAGACAGTCAAAAAAGAAATCATAAGAAACAAGGTTTTGAAGTGTTTGTCCTATATCTAGGAGATAGAAATATATTTCCTGAGCTTTCTTCTATGTTTTTATACATATTTAACCCTTTTTTTGGGTAGCCACAAAACTACCTTCATACTTTCATTTTTTAAAACCGGTGCCGGTTACCTTCAGACGAGTCCCGTGACACTTGTGGTGGTCGTAGAGAAATACAGAGAACACATCATGTTTGTGAGAATCACATTATTTTGTAACCCAGACGCTACAAACAGAAGTTGGCACATCGACGGTACTGATTTCAGACGAGTCCCCTGACATTTGTAGGGGTTGTAGAGCAAAACCATATATCTCTAGTTTTAAACTGATGGATTTTGATGGGAATTTGTGTATTATGCTCCTTAGATTGACGCACCGGTGCGTCAATGGACTCTAGGGGGATTTATTACTTAAAGACATTGCATCTCTACTGGTAGTGGTAACAGTAGACTACTCCCTGCTGGGTCACCAGGTTGAGCTACTTATGAATGCGTTTCTCTACTAGTATTAGTGTCATGGATGCAGAGGAGAAGAAAAGTAGTTGTATTGTTTATAGATCAATATTCAGATATAATTGATATATTGACCACTACAATCTTCCCAAAACTCATTAATGGACTAGTGTCTAGCGTCCCTGCTTAACCTCCGTGAAAGGCAGAGAGATGTCTGTTGAGGTGTGTATCAGTGCTAAATATTCATTACTTCTCTCCTTCCTGCAGACACCTGTTATGTGCTGTCATTTGCCATCATCATGTTGAATACCAGCCTGCACAACCCCAATGTCAGAGATAAGCCCCCTGTAGAGAGATTCATCTCCATGAACAGAGGTATCAATGAGGGAGGAGACCTGCCAGAGGAACTACTCAGGGTAAGAGAGTCTGTGTGTGTGTGTGTGTGTGTGTCTGCGTGTGTGTGTAGAGCAAAGTTTCTTCCATTACTCAACCTTTTGTATTCTATTTGACAGAATTTATTTGACAGCATCAAAAATGAGCCCTTCAAAATCCCAGAGGACGATGGCAACGATCTGACACATACGTTCTTCAACCCCGACCGAGAGGGATGGCTACTGAAATTAGGTGTGTGACGACCAAAGAATCCACATCTTGGTACTTGGTTCATCAACATAACTACAAATATTCTATATCCTATCCTTTTTCACTACATTTAGTGCAGATGGATATGACCTCAGGATGTTATCAATGTGAAAAACAACTCTCGTATTGTTTCTGCACTACTGTCTCATCCTAGTCTTTTCTCCCCCTCCCATTCCAAGCATGGTCTGTGTGATTCAGATGCTCCTCTCTCTGTCCTTGGTTTATGTCCTCACTGTGTCATGGTTGTCTCTGTTGAAGTAGGTAGTCTTTTTAAATGTGCCCTCTTGTTTTCCCTCACACCCTTTGACCTGTCACCTTTCTGTTCTGTGACTGGCTGTTCCTTCTTACTCTGCACTAGGAGGTAGGTACCCCTCCTCGATCCCAGTAGAAGTTGCCCCTAACTACTGATACAGGGTCAAATATATTGGTTAAGGTTACGACTGGGGGTGGCTGTAAACTGATCCTAGATCTGTGGTTAGGGACAACTTCTACTCCCTACTTTCCCTCCCTCCCTGCAGCTGCCTCATCCTGAGGACCCATGCTAACATGTAGACCTAGCTGTTCATCTTCTTAGTCAACAGATGTATTAGCTGCTAGCTGGTTAGTGCTCATCTATTAGCTTGTTTGTTACAGAGATGTGTGTGAAACTGTGACTTATGGTTGTCGAGGGTGACAGGGTTATCTAGAATAGGTTGTCACATCTTGGATGAGGACCCACCACATTCCTCCTCAGTCGGGCCAATGTCTCTGTCTCACACGACTCAAATTTATGTTAGCCTTGACAACATGCTATTTGACTTATGGGGACTGGTGTAGGGCCAGGAGTTTTTTCAGACCATGTGACCTGACCAGGAAAAACTCAGGGCCCTAGGAAGGGGTGCATTTCTTTCATTTAGGTCATGGGTTTGCACTTTGAGAATGTGTTCTGTATGCTACAGTACAGTATGTGCTGATCCTGTGGTGTTCTGAGTTCCTCCATCCTCCTGCCGCTGCCCACCAGGCCTGAAACACATCCTGCTGCTGCTGCTTCCCTCCAGGCCTGAAACACATCCTGCTGCTGCTGCTTCCCTCCAGGCCTGAAACACATCCTGCTGCTACTGCTTCCCTCCAGGCCTGAAACCCATCCTGCTGCTGCTTCCTTCCAGGCCTGAAACACATCCTGCTGCCGCTGCCCACCAGGCCTGAAACACATCCTGCTGCTGCTGCTTCCCTCCAGGCCTGAAACACATCCTGCTGCTGCTGCTTCCCTCCAGGCCTGAAACACATCCTGCTGCTGCTGCTTCCCTCCAGGCCTGAAACACATCCTGCTGCTGCTGCTTCCCTCCAGGCCTGAAACACATCCTGCTGCTGCTGCTTCCCTCCAGGCCTGAAACACATCCTGCTGCTGCTGCTTCCCTCCAGGCCTGAAACACATCCTGCTGCTGCTGCTTCCCTCCAGGCCTGAAACACATCCTGCTGCTGCTGCTGCCCTCCAGGCCTGAAACACATCCTGCTGCTGCTGCTTCCCTCCAGGCCTGAAACACATCCTGCTGCTGCTGCCCCCCAGGCCTGAAACACATCATTCTGCTTCCTACTTCCTCCTCCTATCTGGTTGCGTCTCAAATGGCCCCCTTTTTCCTACACAGTGCACTATATAGAGAATAGTGCCATTTGGGATGAAACCTCTACAGTGGGGAAAAAAAGTATTTAGTCAGCCACCAATTGTGCAAGTTCTCCCACTTAAAAATATGAGAGAGGCCTGTAATTTTTATCATAGGTACATGTCAACTATGACAGACAAATTGAGAGAGAAAAAATCCAGAAAATCACATTGTAGGATTTTTAATGAATTTATTTGCAAATTATGGTGGAAAATAAGTATTTGGTCACCTACAAACAAGCAATATTTCTGGCTCTCACAGACCTGTAACTTCTTCTTTAAGAGGCTCCTCTGTCCTCCACTCGTTACCTGTATTAATGGCACCTGTTTGAACTTGTTATCAGTATAAAAGACACCTGTCCACAACCTCAAACAGTCACACTCCAAACTCCACTATGGCCAAGACCAAAGAGCTGTCAAAGGACACCATAAACAAAATTGTAGACCTGCACCAGGCTGGGAAGACTGAATCTGCAATAGGTAAGCAGCTTTGTTTGAAGAAAACAACTGTGGGAGCAATTATTAGGAAATGGAAGACATACAAGACCACTGATAATCTCCCTCGATGTGGGGCTCCACGCAAGATCTCACCCCGTGGGGTCAAAATGATCACAAGAACGGTGAGCAAAAGTCCCAGAACGACACGGGGGGACCTAGTGAATGCCCTGCAGAGAGCTGGGACCAAAGTAACAAAGCCTACCATCAGTAACACACTACACCGCCAGGGACTGAAATCCTTCAGTGCCAGACGTGTCCCCCTGCTTAAGCCAGTACATGTCCAGGCCCGTCTGAAGTTTGCTAGAGTGCATTTGGATGATCCAGAAGAGGATTGGGAGAATGTTAAATGGTCAGATGAAACCAAAATATAACTTTTTGGTAAAAACTCAACTCGTCGTGTTTGGAGGACAAAGAATGCTGAGTTGCATCCAAAGAACACCATACCTACTGTGAAGCATGGGGGTGGAAACATCATGCTTTGGGGCTGTTTTCTGCAAAGGGACCAGGACGACTGATCCGTGTAAAGGAAAGAATGAATGGGGCCATGTATCGTGAGATTTTGAGTGAAAACCTCCTTCCATCAGCAAGGGCATTGAAGATGAAACGTGGCTGGGTCTTTCAGCATGACAATGATCCCAAACACACCGCCCGGGCAACGAAGGAGTGGCTTCGTAAGAAGCATTTCAAGGTCCTGGAGTGGCCTAGCCAGTCTCCAGATCTCAACCCCATAGAAAATCTTTGGAGGGAGTTGAAAGTCCGTGTTGCCCAGCGACAGCCCCAAAACATCACTGCTCTAGAGGAGATCTGCATGGAGGAATGGGCCAAAATACCAGCAACAGTGTGTGAAAACCTTGTGAAGACTTACAGAAAACGTTTGACCTGTGTCATTGCCAACAAAGGGTATATAACAAAGTATTGAGAAACTTTTGTTATTGACCAAATACTTATTTTCCACCATAATTTGGAAATAAATTCATGAAAAATCCTACAATGTGATTTTCTGGATTTTGTTTTTCTCATTTTGTCTGTCATAGTTGACGTGTACCTATGATGAAAATTACAGGCCTCTCTCATCTTTTTAAGTGGGAGAACTTGCACAATTGGTGGCTGCCTAAATACTTTTTTTCCCCACTGTATCTATCCACTTGGGATCCCCTCCCCCTCTTTCCATCCCACCGGCTGCGCTTGCCAGATCATTTTAGTTTGTTTTCCTCTCGGAGTTGCATGCATTACATCTGTATGCTAATTTTAGCATCCCTTTGGAAGGAGCTGCCTGTTGGAGACACCATGGTTTTTATGATGTAGTTAAATGGGTCATTACTGCAGTATGTCAGGTAGTTAAATGGATGAGACTGCGCTGCCCTGACTGAGTGTACTGTAGCCTTATGTGTTTCCTGTTATGCTAGGAGGGACTTACTGGCCCTGAATACACCAATAATTGACAGTGATGTCTGAGGGATTTTTTAAATATAGTTTCTTAGAAAAACAACACACACACTTTGGGAGTGGAAATGCATCATTTTGTTTTTCACACCAGTTGCACCACACATTTTACATTCAGTAATTCACCAGATACCTTTATCTAGAGTGACTTGACAAACTACAGTCATTTTATACAAACACAGAGAGCAGAACATCAGCATAAATACATAAATCAATGTCAGGTTTTGACATGATATGACAGGCATGCTGACATCTGCTCAAGAGTAGTAAATTACAATGAACTGCAGGGGCCCCCATATACACATTTTAGAATGTCAGCATGCCATGTTTATACAATATGTTAATGCATTTCACATAGTGCTATAGAATCCTAGAGTTCTATCAGTAAACTAATATATAATAATAGTAGTCTAATTATAATAATAGTAGTAGTAGTAGTAGTATAATAGTAGTCTAATTATAATAGTAGTAGTATAATAGTAATATCAGTTTTTATTTTCTTACTTTTTTAACCTTTATTTGAACAGGGAAAACATATTGAGACCTAGGTCACTTTTACAAATGTGCCCTGTATATACAACATAAATATACCCATTATGCCCAAACATATACTTTAAAATAAAAAAAGAGTCATGGGAAGCACAAATAAAACATCACAAATCACCCAGAAAAACAGTTACATTCCTCCACAAATAAGTCCCCAATCAATACTTTAAATTACCCAAACGGCACCAGAACATCAATATGAAATTTACTTTGAATTTTGTTGCAGCACTACAGTGCATTAAAACTAAAAGCAGATTTACCCAGCTTGGTGGAGACCCTAGAAACCTCAAGAGTTAACCAATCCTGTGAACGGTTTAGGCAACACAGGTGTCTATACTTCAACAGAAAAGTTAGATAAGATGGAAGTTTATGAAGTAGGGCCTTGTAAACAAAAAGGGAGTAATGTAGAGATCTACGGGTCTTTAGCGAAGTCCCGCTAATAATTTGATACAGGATGCAGTGATGAGTATCAAAACTGTCACCTGTAACAAAACAAAGGGCACTGTGGTAGATGGCATCCAAATGTTTAAGAGTAGTAGCAGCTGCACTTTGATAAATTTAATATCACCATAATCAAGAATAGATAAAAAGTTTGACTGAATAATCTGCTTCCTACTGCTTAGAGAAAGGCACGATCTGTTTGTGTAGAAAAAGTTAACTTTAATTTCCAATCCCCTCAATATATATATATATATGGGATTGGAAATGAAAGTTAACTTTTATACACACACACACTACCGTTCAAAAGTTTGGGGTCACTTAGAAATGTCCTTGTTTTCAAAAGAAAAGCCATTTTTTTGTCAATTAAAATAACAACATCAAATTGATCCGAAATACAGTGTAGACATTGTTAATGTTGTAAATGGCTATTGTACCTGGAAACGGCTGATTTTTAATGGAATATCTACATAGGCGTACAGAGGCTCATTATCAGCAACCATCAGTCCTGTGTTCCAATGGCACGTTGTGTTTGTTAATGCAAGTTTATCATTTTGAAAGGCTAATTGATCATTAGAAAACCCTTTTGAAATTATGTTAGCAGAGCTGAAAACGGTTGTGCTGATTAAAGAACATTAAAACTGGCCTTCTTGAGACTAGTTGAGTATCTGGAGCATCAGCAATTGTGGGTTCGATTACGATTTTTTCTTCTGAAAATCGTCAGTCTATTCTTGTTCTGAGAAATGAAGGCTATTCCATGTGAGAAATTGCCAAGAAACTGAAGATCTCGCACAACGCTATGTTCTACTCTTTTCACAGAACAGCGCAAACTGGCTCTAACCAGAATAGAAAGAGGAGTGGGAGGGCCCGGTGCACAACTGAGAAAGAGGACAAATACATTAGTGTCTAGTTTGAGAAACAGACGCCTCACAGGTCCTCAACTGGCAGCTTCATTAAATAGTACCCGCAAAACATCAGTCTCAACGTCAACAGTGAAGAGGCGACTCCGAGATGCTGACCTTCTAGGCAGAGTTGCAAAGAAAAAGCCATATCTCAGCACTCCACCAATCAGGCATTTATGGTAAAGTGGCCAGATGGAAGCCACTCCTCAGTAAAAGGCACATGTCAGCCCGCTTGGAGTTTGCCAAAAGGCACCTAAAGACTCTGATCTGATGAAACCAAGATGTAACTCTTTGGCCTAAATGCCAAGCGTCACATCTGGAGGAAACCTGGCACCATCTCTACGGTGAAGCATGGTGGTGACAGCATCATGCTGTGGCGATGTTTTTCAGCGGCAGGGACTGGGAGACTAGTTAGGATCGCGGGAAAGCTGAACGGAGCAAAGTACAGAGATCCTTGCTGAAAACCTGCTCCAGAGAGCTCAGGACCTCAGACTGGGGCGAAGATCCACCTTCCAACAGGATAACGACCATAAGCACACATCCAAGACAATGCAGGAGTGGCTTCGGGACAAGTCTCTGAATGTCCTTGAGTGGCCCAGCCAGAGCCCGGATTTGAACCCGATTTAAACATCTCTGGAGAGACCTGAAAATGGCTGTGCAGCAACGCTCCCCATCCAACCTGACAGAGCTTGAGCAGATCTGCAGAGAGGAATGGGAGAAACTCCCCAAATACAGGTGTGCCAAGCTTGTAGCGTCATACCCAAGAAGACTCGAGGCTGTAATCGCTGCCAAAGGTGCATCGACAAAGTACTGAGTAAAGGGTCTGAATACTTACGTAGATGTGATATTATTTGATTTTTTATTATTTTGCAAACATTTCTAGATCTGTTTTTGCTTTGCCATTATTGGGTATTGTGTGTAGATTGATGAGGGGGGAAAAACTATTTAGTCCATTTTAGAATAAGGCTGTAACGTAACAAAATGTGGAAAAAGTCTGAATAATTTCTGTGTGTGTGTATATAAACTCAGCAAAAAAAGAAACGTCCTCTCACTGTCAACTGCGTTTATTTTCAGAAAACTTAACATGTGTAAATATTTGTATGAACATAACAAGATGCAACAACTGAGACATAAACTGAACAAGTTCCACAGACATGTGACTAACATAAATGGAATAATGTGTCCCTGAACAAAGGGGGGTCAAAATCAAAAGTCACAGTCAGTATCTGGTGTGGCCACCAGCTGCATTAAGTACTGCAGTGCATTTCCTCCTCATGGACTGCACCAGATTTGCCAGTTCTTGCTGTGAGATGTTACCCCACTCTTCCACCAAGGCACCTGCAAGTTCCCGGACATTTCTGGGGGGAATGGCCCTAGCCCTCACCCTCCGATCCAACAGGTCCCAGACGTGCTCAATGGGATTGCAATCCGGGCTCTTCGTTGGCCATGGCAGAACACTGACATTCCTGTCTTGCAGAAAATCTACCTTTCAAACGTTTTTGAACACCTACTCATTCAAGTTTTTCTTATTAATTTTATTTTTTACTATTTTCTACATTGTAGAATAATAGTGAATACATCAAAACTATGAAATAACACATATGGAATAATGTGGTAATCAGTGTTAAACAAATCAAAATATATTTTATATTTGAGATTCTTCAAATAGCCACCCTTTGCCTTGATGACAGCTCGAATATAAAATATATTTAGATTTGTTTAACACTTTTTTTGGTTACTACATGATTCCATATGTGTTATTTCATAGTTTTGATGTCTTCACTATTATTCTACAATGTAGAAAATAATAAAAATAAAGAAAAACCCTTGAATGAGTAGGTGTTCTAAAACCTTATACCAGTAATGTGTGTGTGTGTGTGTGTATATATACTCTTGGCATTCTCTCAACCAGCTTCAGGTAGTCACCTGGAATGCATTTCAATTAACAGGTGTACCTTCTTAAAAGTTAATTTGTGGAATTTCTTTCCTTCTTAATGTGTTTGAGCCAATCAGTTGTGTTGTGACAAGGTGGGGGTGGGGGAGTATACAGCAGATAGCCCTATTTGGTAAAAGACCAAGTCCATATTATGGCAAGAACATTTTATTTATATATATATAAATAATAATTTTATATATTACTATTATGTATCCATAACTGTTATAGAGTTCTACCGCCCTCCTTCGGCTAACCTTTGTGCACTCGAGGAGTTAACTACTTTGTTGTCTTTTACTAAATCAAAGTTATTATCCTGGGTAACCTAAATTATGATTGGGAAATGCAGGCTTCACACAATCTAAAAGACGTGTAATGATCTAAACCTAACCCAGCTGGTGACTAAGTCTAAACGGCCCAACCCTAAATATCCTTCAAAGTCAACTCTGATTGATCTTATCTTAACGAATACACCAGAGAAATATGTTTCTACTGGTGTCTTCGCCAAAGACATTAGTGACCATTGTCCAGCTGTTTGTGTTAGATTTTTGTGTTCTCACATCTCTATGCCTCGTGTCATCACAAAGAGGGAACTTAATTGAACAGGCTTTTTTACATTCTCTTTATTTTAGTGACCTTGATTGTATTTCAGCTATCCCTGAACCTGATTTAGCTTTCAACCTTTTTGCAGATGTCTTCAATACTATTGTAGATAATTATGCTCACTTCAAAAAAGTTAAGGGTTAACGGTAGATCGAATGCCTGGTACAGTCCGGAATTATCAGGTCATTCATAAAAAGAGATGATGCTTTGGTCAAGGCCAGGAACTCAAGCAGAACTTTTGTGAAACATCACAGCACAGTTGAAAAATATATGGCAAATAGAAATCAAAACTGGATGGTGTTCAGAGATAGATGGGAGGTGTTGAGTGAAATGGGAAGGATGGGACTAAAAACCAACAAAAAATACATTTTACAGACACAGTATATTTAAAAATAGTTATGTAGAAACTGGAAGTAGAAGCTTAAGTGTTGTCCATTTAGTTTACTCCAATTAGGGGAGGGGTGGTAGGGTTAGGGGAAAATAATAAAGGAAAATATATATATATATTTACAAAAAATATATGGGGGATTGGAAATGATAGACAATTACATTGATGGAAGCCACAATCTATCTGCAATATTAAAGCTGATCTACCCCCTAAAATAAAAATAAAAAAAGTATAATAATACTATATTAAAAATAGTTTACTAACATAGTATTTCTTATAATTACATGGATCATTGACTGCTTGCATCATTTTGGTTTAATTAACAAACTCAAATAATCCTTAAAATCTGGACAACTGTAGAGAATTATCTGCATTTATCTGCTGACGAAGGCTTGACTGAAGGAGAGAAGAGTTAATGCTAACTCGTGAGGAGATATTCTTCCTGAAAAAATGCAATGTCTGAGAATTGTATCTTGTTACTCATTCTGTTCCTCACACTCCCTGGTCGGTTGGACAGACAGACTGGTTTTGACTGTCTTCACGGTACAGAGAGGGATGTGGCCAAGTGAAAAGAACCAGAGTTTTAGATTTTGATGAATGCTTCTATAAAATGGGACCACGTCCCCATTTTGTATTCATTGTTAGTACTTGAACATTTAAAATTTAAATTTAAAGAAGTAAACTCATTGCAACAAACACTTAAACTCGCTTACTTTGGTTACGAAATGCGGAATGAGTAATTGTCCCTCTGTATCTTTTCACTTGATATATCCGTAAAATAATGAAATAAAATTAAGATGTATCACTTCATTTAAGAGGCAAATGTCTGTATTATGCAGTGGCCTGGGTATAATGGCAGTCTGAATGCCTAGCCACCCCTGACCAATGAACCACGCTCCCCAGCTCCGGCTGAGCCAACATAATGCGGTCACACGTGAAAGGCTGCATTTCTGGGATTTCTCCCCAAATTGAACCCACATTTTGACTGTTTTCACAAGCAATACCTGCACTGCTCCGGGACCTCTGGGGAGGCTGAGGGGCGGGAGGGGGGATATTGGATCAGATTGAATCAGCCTAATGGGCAGACTGCCAATCGGATAGGGTTAAGGTACTATTCCTAAGGACTGAGGGCTGGGCTATAGGCTAGTCTGTCTGTCTCAACGTTTAGTCTCAAAGGAAATATTCATAATTGCTGTTGCAGTTTGCACTGAAACGTGTCTGTGAGAAAGTCTTTGCTGAAAGGTCGACATTAAGCAGCCTCCATCTAAACCCTTGTAGTTGCTTTCCCATAGTATTGTATAAACCCAAGTGATTTGCGTCCACATGCCGCGCTGGGGTCTATTCAGGAGGGTGCAACATTACAGAATATTCAGTTAGAAATGTATTGCCTAGAAAAAGATATGATTGTCTGTCATGTAGAATATAGGGAATCATGTCAGCTCTATACATTACATTTCTATCTGCAATACTAACCGTATCATCTCATTGGCTGTGTAGCCTACAGCACTGCCTCTCCGCATGGCTTGGCCATTGGCTCTTCTCTGTCTGTCAGGTTGTTACTCAACATGTCTCTCTGTGAGGATGTTACTATGTTGTTACTCAACATGTCTCTCTGTGAGGATGTTATTATGTTGTTACTCAACATGTCTGGTATATTTCTCTACAGGTGGAAGAGTAAAGACATGGAAGAGACGGTGGTTCATTCTGACTGACAACTGCCTGTACTACTTTGAATACACAACGGTAAGTTAGTGTGTGGTTTTATCAATACTATAGAGAAAGAATACAATTAATTGTATGTCCACAGCCAGTCTGTAGCAGATGCAGCACGGCCCTTTGACCTAAATGCACCCTGGTCCAGCAATTAACACTATGCATGGAACCATCTGGGAGGTCTGCTGCACATCTGGCCTAGCCCAGATCCCCTACACACACTGATGAGAGCACAGCCCCAAGACACACCACAGCTTAGAGGCCACTCCCAGCACTGAGAGCCCAGTCCAGTCCCTGGGTGTCCCGTCCCTGCTGTGTTCTCTCATTAAGAGAAAGACAGGGGGGCTGTTCTGTTCTGTTCCTCAAGGTCTCCTCAGCCCCCAGACTCCCCCAGCCTGCAGAGCCTCCCAGACACAATAGAAACCCACTGTAGGATTGGGTTACTTCTCCCTTAGGTACTGTACTCTGTATGAGGAAGTTACTTAGGTTTCATGTCCGAGTATGGCTGATTTATACACCCTTATGTGAATAAAACACATTAAAAAACACATTTGTAGTTATTGAACCAGCTGCACAAAACAATTGGCCTGTAACTGTATGCTGTGTGGCTGCATATAAAATAAATGAATGTGTTCCTCATGTGTTGTCTGCAGGACAAGGAACCTCGTGGGATCATTCCTCTGGAGAACCTCAGTATAAGAGAGGTGGATGAGCCCAGAAAACCTGTAAGTTCCTCAAAATATACTGAAACACTTTCTAAGAAAGGGCTAATAAAGCACTGAACACTTCTAGTCTCTCTTCACCATAAATAACCTGATTTCTTCACCGTAACAAACTCTTTCTGTACTCTCACCTCTCTCGCTGTTGGACCCTGTCGTCCAATCAGAATTGTTTCGAGCTCCACAACCCCAACCACAAGGGTTCGTTGATCAAGGCGTGCAAGACTGAGGCGGACGGCCGGGTCGTCGAGGGCAACCACACAGTGTACAGGATATCAGCGCCCACCACAGAGGAGAAGGAGGAGTGGATCAAATCCATCAAGTACGTTTTTCGCTGTAACCCACCTAAGGTTTTGGGAGTTTTGCCCCCATGTAAACACAACAGATATTACTCACCAGGGTCCAAAACCCATAATAATCTGCTATGAGACGCCATTGAATCTCAACTAACCATGATTCAATGGCAAAGCTAGGATTAAACCAGTATGTATGTATCCACTGACGCTTCTTTAAAGATACGTTGTTCTTCACACAGCACTATGACCATGTGTGAGAGAGGCTCACTTTCTCAGTGTGCGGTAGATAAGACTGGACTCAGAGTTGATCTGAGCTCTCTGGAGGTTAAATGGGTTTCCGGTTGATAAAGCCCTCTAGATTAGCCTATAGGCAGGAGAACCAGAACACACACACTACACTCTCTTTCTAGCATTCTGCCTCAATTCGTTACTCTTAGTGTTTTCCCTAAATCCACACTATTTATCAGAAAAATGCTGTCCAGTTAAAGAGAAAAAGAATTATGAAAGTGCTCTGTTAAATTGGACCCAGAGGGTGATTGATCATAGCTCCACTCAGCTGATCTTTCCGATGATCAATATCTGAGGGGGGAATCATATTATATGATACTCTCATCAGGCATGAAGATATAGAAACACCATTTAGGATTGAACGCTGGGTTTCTATTAGAACCAACCGAATGGCTTTTTCTGCTCCTGCCACAACCTGTTTGGATGAAGTGGGTGCCGTACACAGTTAAGGAGATTTGACAGGGGAACATGATGATGATAATATATCAACTTTAGTTCTGCAATTATCATAACTTTAGATAGGGGTGTTGGAAAAGGAGTTTACAGTGGGAAAATTGGGAAACCAGTGCCAATCCTAGTCAATACCAGCCCTGTATGAAATCACAGCCGTAGGTCAACTTTATAGGACTCTTCATTGTGTCGTAGCTGTGAGACTGTGTGCAGAACAGAACAGGCCAGGCCTGGGTTGCTTTAGCTCACATACTCTCAGTACCCTGAGTCCACTTCAGTCTCCCCTTTGGTCAGCATGACACACACAGAACGGCCATCCCAACATGTCCTGTGTTCCTGCCGCTGGGAAAGCAGTGAATTACTTTTTCCTATTACCATCCTGTTGGATGCAAGGCTTTCTCCATAACTTAACTGACCTCTATGGGGTTTCCCTCTGCAGCCTCCAAGGGAAAATAGGGGTGTATTATAGTATAGACAGTCTGCACTAATGTACCAAAGAACACCCCTGTTGTCCTGTCAACTTTTTTCAATCTTTACTAAAGACATGCCACTGGCTCTGAGTAAAGCCAGTGTGTTTATGTATGCAGATGACTCAACACTATACACGTCAGCTACCACAGCGACTGAAATGACTGCAACACTTAACAAAGAGCTGCAGTTAGTTTCAGAATGGGTGGCAAGGAATAAGTTAGTCCTAAATATTTATAAAACTAAAAGCATTGTATTTGGGACAAATCATTCACTAAACACTAAACCTCAACTAAATCTTGTAATAAATCATGTGGAAATTGAGCAAATTGAGGTGACAAAACTGCTTGGAGTAACCCTGGATTGTAAACTGTCATGGTCAAAACATATTGATACAACAGAAGCTAAGAATGGGAGAAGTCTGTCCGTAATAAAGCGCTGCTCTGCATTCTTAACAGCACTCTCAACAAGGCAGGTCCTACAGGCCCTAGTTTTGTCGCACCTGGACTATTGTCCAGTCATGTGGTCAGGTGCCACAAAGAGGGCTCAGAACAGGGCAGTATCGCTGGCCCTTGGATGAACACAGAGAGCTAACATTAACAATATGCATGTCAATCTCTCCTGGCTCAAAGTGGAGGAGAGATTGACTTCATCACTACTTGTATTTGTGAGAGGTATTGACATGTCTGTTTGAACTACTGGCACACAGCTCGGAAACCCATGCATACCCCACAAGACATGCCACCAGAGGTCTCTTCACAGTCCCCAAGTCCAGAACAGACTATGGGAGGCGCACAGTACTACATAGAGCCATGACTACATGGAACTCTATTCCACATCAAGTTACTCATGCAAGCAGTAAAATTAGATTTTAAAAAACACCTTATGGAACAGCGGGGACTGCGAAGCAACACAAACATAGGCACAGACACATGCATACAAACATACACATGGATTTTGTGTTATAGATATGTGGTAGTAGAGTAGGGCCTGAGGGCACACATTTAATATGTTGTGAATGTATTGTAATGTTTTTAAAAATGTATTACTGCCTTAATTTTGCTGGACCCCAGGAAGAGTAGCTGCTGCCTTGGCAGGAACTAATGGGGATCTATAATAAATACAAATGAGAAACAGCTGGATTGTGTTGAGGTCCTCTGTCAGAGCAGGATGTAAAAAGACGAAGACAATAACAAATGTTTTGCTGCAATGTCCTTCTTGGATGACAATGTAGGTTAAAATGTGAACTGTGCTGATACCGAATGTAGTAAAGCTGGGGCAACTATTCCCACACCTGCTCATGAAGACGTACATAGGCTACTGTAATACACAGTAACCATTGTCTATGTTTCTTCTATTTTTGCAGAGCAAGCATCAGCAGGGATCCTTTCTACGACATGCTGGCAACCAGGAAGCGGAGGATAGCCAATAAAAAATGAGGAGGAGCGCTTGACCACACCCTCCCCATCATCAGTGACACCAGCATAGACTCCGGTCTGTCCCTTTCACTCAGCCCAGGGACAGGAGACATGGCAGCGAGGCCACAGCAGAGACAAGGGTAAGGGCATCCAGATGTAGTGGGGAACTGACTTTGGATGCAACACCTCTCCACTTCATCAGTATGGATAAAGGACAAGATGGGGAAGGGCACTTGATATTTTGGTCATCAGTTTCTTTTCAGATGTATGTGTGAATGCAATACACACAACTGTAAATTCTCTAAAGTGTGAATGTACAGTATTGTGAGGACACAATGCGAAACAGCATGCATGGTCTGTATGAGGCTGTGTGTGTACTTCCCTAATGTCCCCACCACACAGACTGAGCTTTCGCCAGCCATATAAGCAGGCTCAAAGAAACATGAGTGACATGGATATTGTTGCCCTCTAGTGGGTGAGTTGAGTATGATTTCAATGTCAGAAGAGCCTAACTTATGAATCAGCTGGTCTGATTGTCCACCCCCGAAACGACTGACACTTATACAATAGGGATGTTGTTGTTTTTTCTCAATTTTTATTTACCCATGAGATACCCAGTTGTAGTCAGCCCATGCCAAAGAGATATCTCTATGGTGAAGGAGATGTGACTTGGAGAAGGATGCCATTTTGTCTTAGAGCTATGGTATACTGTATAAATAAATAAAAATCATGTTTGTGGGACAGTTATCCAAAGCTAGTTTAGGTATTGATTCAAACTCCACCGCTATAAATCATTTGTTTTTTTATATTTATTTTCTCTGATTACAAAAGTTTTTTTTTCATCTTTTCATGATGTGTGTGTATATATACTGTACATAAATGTTTGTCATTTCTGTTATGTGTTTCTGTAGCATGTAAAAGTTATGTATGGCTAGCCTACACCCGCTCAAAGGTGAGCAATGAGCATTACATACTGCAGTGGAAGAAACCCTGAACTCCAACTCCTCACAGAGCAAATGGAGAAAAAATAACTATTCCTCATATTTCTAAAATAAACAGATAATGACTTAACATCTAAGCCAGCTGGGTTTCACATGGGAAGGTGTCAAGGTGAAACAAAACTCCTCACTAGGGTCTCTATTAGTCTCCTGAGTGGCACAGTGGTCTAATGCACTGCATCGCAGTGTTAACTGTGCCACTAGAGATCCTGGTTCGAATCTAGGCTCTGTCGCAGCCGGCCGCGACCGGGAGACTCATGGGCGGCGCACAATTGGCCCAGCGTTGTCCAGGGTAGGGGAGGGAATGGCCGGCAGGGATGTAGCTCAGTTGATAGAGCATGGCGTTTGCAACGCTAGGGTTGTGGGTTTGATTCCCACGGGGGGCCAGTATAAAAAAATATGTATTCACTAACTGTAAGTCGCTCTGGATAAGAGCATCTGCTAAATGACTAAAATGTAAATGTAAATGTATTCAATCTGTATCGCTGAAGTTCAGCGTTGGAGCATGATTGAAATTTAAAGGCAACGTTCCTGCGTTAGCGGAGACTGCATTTTAAGGTGAACGCGACATATGTCGGCTCAATCGGAAATTACCTTTCCATTTCTATCGCTTCAGTGATACAGATTGAATAGAGCGCCTCAAGGTTTGGATCTACAACACCCCATGGTGAGACTGAGATACTGGAATTTTCTACAGGGCCAAGTTGTGTAAAAGTTCACAAGATTCTCAACATTACAGGAGCCTTTGAACTGTTGAGGATTTTAAATAAAATGTTCAGATTTTCTCCTGTGTAACTGACCAGTCTGACATGTAAGTGAATAAGAAATGAGTGCCCAGGTACTGTTATGAACTCCCACACTGTCATTGTGTAACCTGGAAACAATATGAAAAATGACCTTACCACTGTTAGCCTTGAATCCACAGTGTTTCAACAGTCTTATCTGACGACCTTAAAAGTTCACTCAATTAAGCAATCAATTAAACAATCACTCATATGCAAAATCTTTTACCAAAATTCAGGGAAAAAGGACTCCATCCATCCAATACAAAAGGCAGACACTTTTCCCATCTGTGTGTACATGCCCAATCAATCAACAGCTTTCACTCCAACAAACAAACAACGTGCGTAAACAAAGTAAGATAAGTTATTTTGACATTAGCAAATGTATTTAAGGCTTTTTATATACCTTGTACAATGTGTAAATTTGACATGCTATTGTAGAACTAAAAACGTATTAACATTTTTTGGTCTTTTTAGGTAGAAAAAAAACCAAGCCATCCAAGCAGACCTTCATACCCATTTCGCTGACTTGTGTCCATAGAACAAGGTCTAAATGACGTCGTGGGAATTCTCTAAAACAAAACAAAAGCTATTCTCTATTTATATTCCTGATACAGGACTGTTGTTATGTATACAAAATAATTGATAGTACAGTTCAAAATTAAATTCACAGTATTTCTTATGGACGCTAGGAAAAAAAACAGAATAAAAAAAAAAAGCTGAGAAACAGGTCCACAGCCGTAAGTGATAACATGATTATTATTAAGCTTTTTTTAATGCTTGAATAACGAGTTAAAAATAATGGATATCTCAGTGAGAGGGAGGGAATCTTAGGCTTTAGAAAGAAACAGTCATAGAAAGTAACAGAGCTGTCCTGAAGTCTGTCCAAGGTAGGTGGAGTTGTGTTAAGTGCGCACATAGTCACAACAGCTCAGCCGCATGAGGCCCAGGCCAGCTCCTTCTCTTCCAGACAGTACTCATTCCACCATTACGTTTCCCTCAGAGAGAAAACTGTTTTATACCTCCAGCTATACAGATATGTGGATAATGGTGACAACTGATGTCATATCAGCCAACTGATGTCATATCAAACAGGTCATCTCCTAGGCAACAAAACTATTCTTCTTCTTCTTGGATTATTTAACCAAATTGATCATTTCTCAGAGGAGGAATAAGTCCTGAGTCTTCCACTGAGCAGCAGTTGATGGTTAAGCTCCAGGCTTCTTCTTCTTTTGTTTACACAATTATATATTAATTATAATGTACATTTGAGTGACAAGTGTTCACCGCTGAGGAGTGAATTAGAAAATAAATCTGTTTTTAAAAAAAGACAATCTAGTAGAATCTTTAAAACATTTCTCACATGGTAAAAATACAGTATATTCCCAATAATTCCGCACCATGTTCAACTATTCAGGATGACTTTCCTGTTGCCGTTGATTTTTTTAAAAAGTATTTCAAGTCTGCAATGAGAGGGAAAGATGTCAGGTTTGCAGACAGTTCCATTAGTGTTTACACAATCAAGAAGATGAGTTGAAACTGGCTACTGTTTCCACTCATTACCAAGCATAGAGATTCTCAGAGTAAGACAGACAGACGCAAAGGAAAGATACTTACATTGTTCTGTTTGTCTGGTCGAACAGAGAAAATCTACTGTCTAAGGTCATTGTACAGTCCATTAGTAGAACATCCGTGGGAGTTTCCATTGGGTCGACTGAAGCCAATACCTACAACAGAAAAACATTATGGTCAAAATGATAGATTAACACAGTGACAAACTGAGAAACAACTGGACCTGATATCTATAGAAACCATTGTATAGTCTAATGTAAATCTGCTAGTTTCTTACCAGTGTGTTGGTTGAAGTGGCGGTGCGATGCGTTGTGAGGGGATCCATTACGAGAGGAGAAGGAGCAGTCTTTGTCGTCATCTTTGAAGCGATGGCGTTTCTTGGGGTAGCTGTTGTCATAGCCATCATCGTCCTGGTAACGTCGCTTCTTGCTCGCCCTCTCATCGTCGCTGCTGCTCGCTCTGCGAACCTCCCGGGGGGCATTGGTGTCACGGTGCCCCTCGGAACTCTGGGTAGAGCGGGTCTCACCCCCCGACTTCTCGTCCTCCGTGTTAGTGTCGTACCTTTTCCTCCTCCTCTTCTTCTTCTTCTTGTGTTTGGAGGACCTGCTGCCGTCCGCCGCCCTGTCAGAGGAATCCACGTCAGAGGTCCTGGAAGGAAGAACACCCAGGTCAGAGTTAAAGTAACAACTGAACTAAATTCCCTGACACCTTGTCTCATTGTGGAGGCGAGAAAATAGACTGCCTTACCCATTCTCTCTGTGCCTCTCTCTGTCCTTGGACTTCTTCTTGCTCTTCTTGGCCCGATGCTCCTCAGAGCTGTCTCTCTCCTCTCTCAGAGGCTCTGGGCGTTTCTCCAGGGCTGGTCTGGCTGGGGAGAGGGCTGGGCGAGGGAGAGACTGACTGGGCTTGGTGCTGGGGCTCAGTGGGGTGGGCAGGGGGGTCTCCTGTGAAGGGTAGTAACCCCTCTCCTCCCTCCACCTTGAACGTCCATGATGCTCCTCTCTGTGGGGGAGGCTGTGCTCCCTCCTGGCCCTATTCCTGTTCTCTCTGGGTCTGTGGTGGTAATGGTGGTGACAGCGGTCCCTGTCCCTGTCTCTGGGGTGGTAGGTGTTCCTCTCCCAGCGACGCTCAGACTCCCAGTCCCGGTGTCTGTTCCGGCTGGCCGAGCGGTCCCGGTACGACCGGTGGTGGTCTCTGTCTCTGTGGTCCCGCCGGTGTCTGTAGTGGTCTGAGTCACGGTCGCGCTCACGACTCATGTCCCGGTGGTACCTATCCCCTTCACAGTCTTTATCCCGGTTAGAAGAGTATAGCCGGTCTCGATCCCTATCGCAGTCCGAAGAATGTAGTCGGTCTTTCTCCTTATCCTGATCAGAAGAGTTCAACCTGTTTTTCTCCTTATCCTGATCAGAAGAGTTCAACCTGTCTTGCTCCTTATTACGATCAGAAGAGTTCAACCTGTCTTTCTCCTTATCACGATCAGAAGAGTTCAACCTGTCTTTCTCCTCATCACGATCAGAAGAGTTCAACCTGTCTTTCTCCTTATCACGATCAGAAGAGTTCAACCTGTCTTTCTCCTCATCACGATCAGAAGAGTTCAACCTGTCTTTCTCCTTATCACGATCAGAAGAGTTCAACCTGTCTTTCTCCTTATCACGATCAGAAGAGTTCAACCTGTCTTCCTCCTCATCACGATCAGAAGAGTTCAACCTGTCTTTCTCCTCATCACGATCAGAAGAGTTCAACCTGTCTTTCTCCTTATCACGATCAGAAGAGTTCAACCTGTCTTTCTCCTCATCACGATCAGAAGAGTTCAACCTGTCTTTCTCCTCATCACGATCAGAAGAGTACATCTGGTCTCTTCCCTCTCTGGAGCTGGGCTTGCCGTCCAGCCGTCCATCCAGCCCTGCGGCTGGGCTGTTCTGGGTCTCCCTGACGTCCTCCCCAGATCCCCTGTGTGGGGCTCCGAGGCCTTTCGTGGCCCCCAGGCCTGGTCCAGAGAGGGGCTTGGAGATGGCTGGGGAGACTGGGGTACTGAGGGAGCGGGGGGTGGGCTGGAGGGTTAAGGCCCCAGGGTTGGAGCTGGATTCCCTCAAGGCGTCGGTAAGTGGCTTAGCTTCAACATCGGCCAATGAGGATGGAGGTTTAGCAGCGGTTGATGGTGCGTGGTGAGGGAGGGGGTCAGAGTGAGTTTTAGCCCATTTCTCTGGGGTGAGGGAGAGGCGGCTGTCGCTGTCAGCACTGTGCAGGCCCTGAGAGGTGCTGACCTGTCTGGAGGTGACGCTATACACCTCTTTGCTGTAGAAAAAGACAACAACATTAATGAATTACTGGATCTTCAAATCATCATGCAAAGTGGATCAAAAGAAGAGAATGTGATCACGCTCACCTTGGGCCACTGTGGTGAGACTCCGCCCCATTAGACATGCTGCAACCCAAACCGGGCGACATCACATGACCGTTACTGTTGATCTGCACAACAACAGCCACACAGATAATGAGTACACAGGTGTTTATGTGTGTGAATCCTTTCGCAAATGTAATGTGATTTGTGGAGTTCAGTAAAGTATTTAAAATGTGTGTCGGCTGACTAGAAGTACCTTCTCAGGGTGTTTGATGCCATTGACGTTGTGGTGTCCATTCTGATGTCCGTTCTGGCTGAGTTTGGAGAAGCTGTTGGTACCGTTATGGTGCATGGTAGCCTGGCCGTTACCGATGTCGTTGGTCTTGAGGGCCAGCACTCTGGGAACGGGGCCGTAGACGGTCTCTCCCTTTCTCCTGTTAACGTGAGGCTTGGCCGTGCCGTTTCCCAGACCACTGCCTCCCTCCTGGTCCGACTCCTCAGACGACTCCTGGCCGTACGGCACCAGGAACGATGCCCCGTGACCGTTTCTGTTACCGGAGGAAGTGCCGTTAACGCGAGGAGCCCGGGGCGCGGACATGTCTGAGGTAGACTGTGACGAAGAAGAGGGGTGGATCTGTTTGCCCTGACCGATGAAGAAGGAGAGCTTCTGGCGCTTGGCGGGGTCAAGGATGCCTGTGGGACGGCTGAGAGGATGGGAGGAGGAGGCAAGCTGGCTGTAGCTAGTCTTGCCCATGCTGCTGTCACTGCTGGTGCTGGGCTTCCAGCCAGAGGGGTAGTCCCTTAGGGAGCCGTTCCCATTGATGTGAAAAGTGTTCTGGGGAAAAAGACACATTGGTTACAGGCTCTTGATACACGTCTTGCCTCTGAACAGATGATTGTGCAGAAGATGGTGTGTACGTAGGCTGTACCTTGGCCATGTGTGGGGGCAGCTGTGGCCCTATGAAGCCGGTGTTGGTGTGTCGTGGCCCAATGTTGACCCGGGGTGTGAGGATGGGGTGGGGGGACGACTGGCTGGGGGACCCCGGGGTCCGACTCGTGTAGTTGTAGTCCCCTCCGTTCTTCAGATCAGGTGACCTGGTGGCCAGAACAGGCAGCACCCATCACCGATCAGAAACATAACCACTAAAAGGGAAAACCTGTGCAGGACTATTGCGTGGTGACTGGATGTACACTACACAGTGAATGGGAGCTACTCACCTGATGTAGAAGAGGACGTAAGCCTGCTGGTTGAGGACTGACCTGATGTCACTGACTGACACAGAGGAGTCATTCAACTGGTACCACTGGCCGTTGCTAGCCTGAAAGAGAGAGACTTATAAAACATGCATCACACTGACACCATACGTACACATTAATATAATCCTTTATAGAAGACTGTAATCAAACATCTGGCTTACATAGAAGTCGTGAGAGGATTATTCACATGGGGGTTTGGGTTGTAGTCGCTAAGCTTTCTCTCTCATTGATTGATTGAGTGTTCGAGAACCGTCCTACTAGTGCCTTCTGCCAATATTGGAGCTTACCTTGAAGTAGCAGTAGTAAGATATATTAGGTTAGATGTTAGGGCTTACCTTGACGTAGCAGTATATATTAGTAGTAGTGTATATTAAGGCTTACCTCGACGTAGCAGTATATATTAATAAGCCCTAACATACACTACTACTAATATACAGTGCATCCGGAAAGTATTCAGACTCTTCCCTTTTTCCACATTGTTACATTACATCCTTATTCTAAAATGGATAATTGTTTTTTTCCCCCTCATCAATCAACACACAATACCCCATAATGACGAAGCAAAAACAATTGTTTTTAGAAATTTTTGGAAATGTATTAAAAATAAAAAAACTGAAATATCCAGACCCTTTACTCAGTACTTTGTTGAAGCACCTTTTGGCAGTGATTACAGCCTCGAGATCCTCTCAAGCTCTGTCAGGTTGGATGGGGTGCGTCGCTGCAGAGCTATTTTCAGGTCTCTCCAGAGATGTTCGATCCGGTTCAAGTTCGGACTCTGGCTGGGCCACTCAAGGACATTCAGAGACTTGTCTTGAAGCCACTCCTGCGTTGTCTTGGCTGTGTGATTAGGGTCGTTGTCCTGTTGGAAGGTGAACCATCGCCCCAGTCTGAGGTTCTGAGCACTCTGAAGCAGGTTTTCATCAAGGATCTCTCTGTACATCTTTCCCTCGATCCTGACTAGTCTCCCAGTCCCTGCCTCTGGAAAAACATCCCCACAGCATGATGCTGCCACCACCATGCTTCACCGTAGGCATGGTGCCAGGTTTCCTCCAGACGTGACGCTTGGCATTCAGGCCAAAGAGTTCAATCTTTGTTTTATCAGACCAGAGAATCTTGTTTCTCATGGTCCAGAGTTTTTTTGGTGATCTTTGGCAAACTCCAAGCGGGCTGTCATGTGCCTTTTACTGAGGAGTGGCTTCCGTCTGGCCACTCTACCATAAAGGCCTGATTGGTGGAGTGCTGCAGAGATGGTTGTCCTTCTGGAAGGTTCCCCCATCTCCACAGAGGAACTCTGGAGCTCTGTCACCTCCCTGACCAAGGCCCTTCTCCCCCGATTAGAGTCTTGGTGATTCCAAACTTCTTCCATTTAAGAATGGAGGCCACTGTGTTCTTGGGGACCTTCAATGCTACAGAAATGTTTTGGTACGGAGCTCTACGGACAATTCCTTCGACCTCATGGCTTAGTGTTTGCACTGTCAACTGTGGAACCTTATATAGACAGGTGTGTGCCTTTCCAAATCATGTCCAATCAATTGAATTTACCACAGGTGGGCTCCAATCAAGTTGTAGAAACATCAAGGATGATCAATGGAAACAGGATGCACCTGAGCCCAATTTCGAGTCTCATAGCAATACTTAAAGGTATGTTTAAAAATGTTTTTATATATTTATAAAAATGTCTAAACTTGTTTTCACTTTGTCATTACGGGGTATTGTGTGTAGATTGAGTAAAAAAAAGTAATTCTAGAATAAGGCTGTAACGTAATAAAATGTGGAAAAAGGGAAGGGGTCTGAATACTTTCCGAATGCACTGTATAGTAGCAGTAGTAGTGTATATTAGGGCTTACCTCGACGTAGTAGTGTATATTAGGGCTTACCTTGACATAGCAGTAGTAGTGTCCAGCGTGGCAGCTGAAGCCAGAGTGCACCAGGACAGCGTAGAGCACGTAGACCTGGGGCTCCCCGTGGGACTGGGACATGAAGGGACGCAGGTCCAGGCACTCAGAATACCTCACGTCCTAAAGGAGAGAGACAGGCAATGTCAGTGGAAATCTAGAGAAAGTTTTCATGAAAAAATCTGTAAAAAACACTGATTTCCATGTTCATTTTGCTGACAATGTTTTCTGATGTCTTACCTTAGCGATCTTGCCCCCATTGTAGTTGGCGAAGCGCTTCAGTGAGATGGTGAGCACGTTGGCGCTGCGGTGGATGGTGAATCTCTTAGAGGCTGGAACCATCTTCTTACACCTGCACAGACAGATCAGTTAGAAATACCCATGAAACAAAACATGCAGCACTAGGTTGTAATAACACTGGATTAGGCAGCGCTATGCTGAGATGAACAATAATAACACTGGTTTAGGCAGCGCTATGCTGAGATGAACAATAATAACACTGGTTTAGGCAGCGCTATGCTGAGATGAACAATAATAACACAAGGGTTTAGGCAGCGCTATGCTGAGATGAACAATAATAACACTGGTTTAGGCAGCGCTATGCTGAGATGAACAATAATAACACTGGTTTAGGCAGCGCTATGCTGAGATGAACAATAATAACACTGGATTAGGCAGCGCTATGCTGAGATGAACAATAATAACACTGGTTTAGGCAGCGCTATGCTGAGATGAACAATAATAACACTGGATTAGGCAGCGCTATGCTGAGATGAACAATAATAACACGGGTTTAGGCAGCGCTATGCTGAGATGAACAATAATAACACTGGTTTAGGCAGCGCTATGCTGAGATGAACAATAATAACACTGGTTTAGGCAGCGCTATGCTGAGATGAACAATAATAACACTGGTTTAGGCAGCGCTATGCTGAGATGAACAATAATAACACTGGATTTAGGCAGCCGCTATGCTGAGATGAACAATAATAACACTGGATTAGGCAGCGCTATGCTGAGATGAACAATAATAACAACTGGATTAGGCAGCGCTATGCTGAGATGAACAATAATAACACGGGTTTAGGCAGCGCTATGCTGAGATGAACAATAATAACACGGGTTTAGGCAGCGCTATGCTGAGATGAACAATAATAACACTGGATTAGGCAGCGCTATGCTGAGATGAACAATAATAACACTGGATTAGGCAGCGCTATGCTGAGATGAAACAATAAAACACTGGATTAGGCAGCGCTATGCTGAGATGAACAATAATAACACTGGATTAGGCCAGCGCTATGCTGAGATGAACAATAATAACACCGGTTTAGGCAGCGCTATGCTGAGATGAACAATAATAACAAGGGTTAGGCAGCGCTATGCTGAGATGAACAATAATAACACTGGTTTAGGCAAGCGCTATGCTGAGATGAACAATAATAACACTGGATTAGGCAGCGCTATGCTGAGATGAACAATAATAACACTGGATTAGGCAGCGCTATGCTGAGATGAACAATAATAACACTGGTTTAGGCAGCGCTATGCTGAGATGAACAATAATAACACGGGTTTAGGCAGCGCTATGCTGAGATGAACAATAATAACACTGGTTTAGGCAGCGCTATGCTGAGATGAACAATAATACACTGGGATTTAGGCAGCGCTATGCTGAGATGAACAATAATAACAAGGGTTTAGGCAGCGCTATGCTTGAGATGAACAATAATAACAACTGGATTTAGGCAGCGCTATGCTGAGATGAACATACAAACACTGGTTTAGGCAGCGCTATGTTGAGATGAACAATAATAACACGGTTTAGGCAGCGCTTATGCTGAGATGAACAATAATAACACTGTTTAGGCAGCGCTATGCTGAGATGAACAATAATGACACGGGTTTAGGCAGCGCTATGCTGAGATGAACAATAATAACACGGGTTTAGGCAGCGCTATGCTGAGATGAACAATAATAACACTGGATTAGGCAGCGCTATGCTGAGATGAACAATAATAACACTGGATTAGGCAGCGCTATGCTGAGATGAACAATAATAACACGGGTTTAGGCAGCGCTATGTTGAGATGAACAATAATAACACTGGTTTAGGCAGCGCTATGCTGAGATGAACAATAATAACAATGGATTAGGCAGCGCTATGCTGAGATGAACAATAATAACACTGGATTAGGCAGCGCTATGCTGAGATGAACAATAATAACAATGGATTAGGCAGCGCTATGCTGAGATGAACAATAATAACACGGGTTTAGGCAGCGCTATGTTGAGATGAACAATCATAACACTGGTTTAGGCAGCGCTATGCTGAGATGAACAAATAACAATGGATTAGGCAGCGCTATGCTGAGATGAACAATAATAACAATGGATTAGGCAGCGCTATGCTGAGATGAACAATAATAACAATGGATTAGGCAGCGCTATGCTGAGATGAACAATAATAACACGGGTTTAGGCAGCGCTATGTTGAGATGAACAATAATAACACTGGTTTAGGCAGCGCTATGCTGAGATGAACAATAATAACAATGGATTAGGCAGCGCTATGCTGAGATGAACAATAATAACACTGGATTAGGCAGCGCTATAGTGAGATGAACAATAATAACACTGGATTAGGCAGCGCTATGCTGAGATGAACAATAATAACACAAGGGTTTAGGCAGCGCTATGCTGAGATGAACAATAATAACACTGGTTTAGGCAGCGCTATGTTGAGATGAACAATGATAACACGGGTTTAGGCAGCGCTATGCTGAGATGAACAATAATAACACTGGTTTAGGCAGCGCAATGCTGAGATGAACAATAATGACACGGGTTTAGGCAGCGCTATGCTGAGATGAACAATAATAACACTGGTTTAGGCAGCGCTATGCTGAGATGAACAATAATAACACGGGTTTAGGCAGCGCTATGCTGAGATGAACAATAATGACACGGGTTTAGGCAGCGCTATGCTGAGATGAACAATAATAACACTGGATTAGGCAGCGCTATGCTGAGATGAACAATAATAATAATAATAATAATATGCCATTTAGCAGACGCTTTTATCCAAAGCGACTTACAGTCATGCGTGCATACATTTTTGTGTATGATAACACTGGATTAGGCAGCGCTATGCTGAGATGAACAATAATAACACTGGTTTAGGCAGCGCTATGCTGAGATGAACAATAATAACACGGGTTTAGGCAGCGCTATGCTGAGATGAACAATAATAACACGGGTTTAGGCAGCGCTATGCTGAGATGAACAATAATAGCACTGGTTTAGGCAGCGCTATGCTGAGATGAACAATAATAGCACTGGTTTAGGCAGTGCTATGTTGAGATGAACAATAATAGCACTGGTTTAGGCAGCGCTATGCTGAGATGAACAATAAATGAATCCAGATCTACTCACTTAGCGCATCTGTAGGCGTTCTCGCCATCTAGCTGCTCAGGCTTAACAAACTGCTCCAGAGCCTTGGTGATACTGGGAGCAGTCTGAAAGGTAACACGGGTGACAGTTGTCAATGATGCATTCTTAGCAAGACACCAAAAGGTTTGACAGGTTCCCCCATTGTGCAGCATGAAAGGTAGTTCACTGTTACCTTTATTTCCAAAGCAACGTCCAAATAAGGGTCAAACGTGTCAGAGACTGCTTTGCAGTTTAAACATTTTACTGTAAAAAGACAGCATAGAGACAATTAGAGCATCATGCCTATTAACCAATAATAGACATCTAATCATAATTGCTTCTTCAAATGTTCTAATGGTGTGCAGCACACACAACAAGAAAGTATTTCAATCAATCAAACGTATTCAGCAGTTGTCACAGTGCATTACAGATACCTAGTCTAATACCGCAAAGAGCATGCAACGCTTGTATCGGCTTCAGTAAGTGAAACATTTAAAGATTACACTAATAAGCGTACCTCTAGACCGTAGATACCCTCCAAAGACTTGATGGATGAAACTGGTTGCCTGCGTTTGCCTGTCCAATCTGTTGAAAAAGGAAACATCAAACCGTTAAAGATGCTTATCAGGGACTCCCAATAGCCTTCAGGGAAATTGCCTTCTATGTGTATACACAGGATCATATCAATCAAGATAGCCTTCATTTAATTTCTCGTTGGGACACAATGTCCTTTGAGGAGGAACCGACAGCAGAGGAAATAGAGCAAAAGTAATTGCTGAGAGTAGAGGCAACCTGTTGGGGAGCAGAATAGCCCTCCACTACAAAGGAGGGGGATCCTAAAGTCAGTTAAGGGTCCCTGGTGTCTAGGAGATGGTCACTAAAACATTATATATTAATCATGTCTCACTCTGTGCTGTACGTGAATGTGGGTCAGATGAGATGTGAGTACAGAACAGTGCTTCCTAGTGGCTGAACACTGATTTCAGTGTAACACCTACTTGTTTAGAGGCAGGCAGGACTTTTGCATAGCGTCCACTGTGTACCGCAGGAACTCATGGGCGTCCTCTTGGCTGCCAAAGCGGAAATGCTTTGCAATCCCTGCACAGGTGTTATACAGAGGTGTAGAGGAGGAAGACTGTCAGTTTTCCCTCCAAAAATGACAGCGGCAACTCTTTTGGTGGGAAAGCTATTTTGCCGACTAGGTTTCCCAGAATTCTGCACCTATGATGCAGTCCCAACTCTCCTTCCATTTTTGAGGGAAAAACTATTTTGCGGACAGGTTATTTAGTTGTAATGGCTTTCAACACGTCTGAACAGACTTTCCTATCAACTTTGTGCTAATGGGTTTCCCCCTCTGATTCCAAGTAAACACTACTTACGTTTGAGCTCATTGAGGACTCCGATGGGCTTGATGACATTCCCAGAGTTGGCGAAGACCTGGGTGATGTGATTCTGCATGGTGCACATCATACAGAACCCAGGCTCGTGACCTGAACATCAACACAGATGATGGTCAATCAGGTAATAGGCATTAAAGGTCCAATGCATTAAAGGTCTCAATATCAAATCATTTCTGGGTAACAATTAAGTACCTTAATGTGATTGTTTTCAATTAAAAAGGTCAAAAAGAAACCAAAATAGCTTAACAAAAAACTATTTCTCAAGCAAGAATGTTGCTAGGATTGTCTGGGAGTGGTCTGAGTTGGGAGGGGAAAACTAGCTGTTGCTGGCAGAGAGGTTTGGAACTCTTTCTAATTGGTCTATTAACTAATTTACTGCCCAGGCAGGCCAAAACTCCATCCCACCAAAAACAGGCAGAAATTTCAGGCGATCTTTTCAAACAGCTCGTACACTAAAAGGGCAATATCGTAATTTTCACATTATTCCAACTTTTAGGGACTGCACTTGACCTTTAAAGGGATACTTCGGGATTATGGCAATGAGACCCTTTTATCTACTTCCCCAGAGTCAGATGAACAGTATGAAGGAAGTTAGAAGTAGTTTTGTGACCCAATGCTAACTAGCATTAGCGCAATGACTGGAAGTCTATAACATAGAGTTTTGGTGCAGGTACAGCCAACTAACGCAAAAATAATATTGCGATTAGATAAAATATATTGAAAAAAATAATATCCCAATATGTAACTTTTTTTTTTACCCCATCACTAATTGCCAAAACCCCAAAGTATCCCTTTAAGCAAAGAACCAACATACAGTGCCCAGAAAGTATTCACTCCCCTTGACTTATTCCACATTTTGTTATGTTACAGCCCGAATTCAAAATAGATTATTTTGATTTCTCTCACCCATCTACACACAATACCCCATAATAAAAAGTTAACATGGTTTTTGAATTTGTATTTCATTTTCAAATGTATTGAAAATGAAATACATATCTAATTTACATAAATGTTCACACCCCTGAGTCAATACTTTGTAGAAGCACCTTCGGCGGCGATTACAGCTTTGAGTCGTATGTCTGTATCAGCTTTTAGGATTTTCTCCCATTCTTCCTTGCAGATTTTCTCAAGCTGTTAAGTTAGATGGGGAGCGGCGGTAAACAACAATCCTCAAGTCTTTCCACAGATTTTCAATAGGATTGGGGTCATTGTCCTGTTGGAACGTAAATCTCCGCCCCCCAGTCTAAGGTCGTTTGAACTCTGAAGCAGGTTCTCATCAAGGATTTGCCTGTATTTGGCTTCATTCATTCTTCCCGCTATACTTACCAGTCTCCCATTCGCTGCCGCTGAATAGCATCCCATGCTGCACGGTAGGGATGGTGTTAGACGGGTGATGAGCTGTGCCTGGTTTTCTCCAAACATAGTGCTTTGCATTCAGGCCAAATAGTTCAATTTTTGTCTCATCAGACCTTATGATCTGTGTTTCACGTGCCCTTTTGCAAACTCCAGGCGTGCTGTCATGTAGAGACTGTTGTTCTTCTGGCAGGTTCTCCCATCTCAGCCAAGGAACTCTGTAGTTCTGTCAGAGTGGTCATTGGGTTATTGGTCACCTCCCTGACCAAGGTCTTTCTTGCCCGGTTCCTCAGTTTGGTCAGACGGCCAGCTCTAGGCAGAGTCTGGGTAGTTACATATTTTTTCAATTTCCCAAAAATGGAGACCACTGTGCTCTTGGAAAGTTTCAACACTCCAGAAATTGTTTTATACCCTTCCCCAGATATATGCCTCATCACAATTATATCTCTGAGATCTACAGACAGTTCCATGGACTTCATGGTATAGTTTCTGCTCTGACATGCACTGGCAACTGTGGGACCTTATATAGACAGGTGTGTTTCTTTCTAAATCATGTCTAAACAATTGAATTGGCCACAGGTGGACTCTAATCAAGTTGTAGTGACATCTCAAGGATGATCAAAGGAAATTGGATAGCAAAGGGGAATGAATACTTATGTAAATGAGATATCTGTATTTAATTTAGCAAAAAAATCTAAAAACATGTTTTCACTTTGTCATTATGGGGTATTGTGTGTAGATGGGTGAATTGTTTTTTATTTTTGGGGGGGGTCCATTTTGAATTCAGGCTGTAACACAACAAAATGTGGAATAAGTCAAATGGTATGAATACTTTCTGAAGGCACTGATAAATTTGAAGCCGCTGTTTGTCGAATATGACTTATTTTATTTCTTTTTTTCTTTTTCTAACCTTCTCCTGCTTGTTCATTATGAAAATGTAATAACAACAAAGCCCCTGGTTCTATTATCCACATACATGTTTTAGAGTGCTCCCGGGACAGCATGTAGTTAGTGAGGGGAGCTGTGTAGGTGAGACACTGCAGAGCCGAGTTGAGGAAGCAGGTGTTGCCCAGGTTCTGGAGACCTGATCCGATGCGGTGGACCTGGTTCCACTTCAGGCTGAGCCGCTCGGCCGGGAACAGCACCTTCTGGGGCAGTGCGATGCCGTCCCCACTGGTCAGCACCACTGCAAAGGGGAAGGGGAAATAAACAGTTAAATACATACTGAAAGCCATGACAAAAGGAGTGTTGCCTGGTAGATAAACCAGTGGGAATAAATCTCTGAAGGACGTCTTAGGAAAGGTTATTTTTTGAATGTGTCCAACTTCAAGGCACTATGAAATTGACAATCAATTTCTGAGAGAGTCTGAAAAGACTTCAATTCAAAGCTAGGGCATATTTGATGGGTGGGGGAAGGTAGGAAAATGCTGTGTTTCTTGTTTACTGACATAACATGTGGTGCCACAGGATCTATGGTTCAGGGTATATCAGGCTATTGATTTACACCCCTCAGAGAACAATATGGTTACATAACTGGGCCAGTATAAAAGAAGACTGCAACATAAAACACCTAGGAGAACCGGTTCAGGCAGTCACTTATGAGAAGAGAAGTGGGAAACCACAGCTACTCAACTCAGCACTCCCTGTATGGAGAGACTTGAAATACAGTGCATTCGGAAAGTATTCAGACCCCTTCACTTTTCCCACATTTTGTTACGTTACATCCTTATTCTAAAATGGATTAAATAGTTTTTTTCCCCCTCATCAATCTACACACAAAACCCCATAATAACAAAGAAAAAACATGTTAGAATTTTTTGTAAATGTATATAAAAAAAAATCTACCTTAAATATGACATTTACATAAGTATTCAGACCCTTTACTCAGTACTTTGAAGCACCTTTTGGCAGCGATTACAGCCTCAATTCTTCTTGGGTATGACGCTACAAGCTTGGCACACCTGTATTTGGGGAGTTTCTCCCATTCTTCTCTGCAGATCCTCTCAAGCTCTGTCAGGTTGGATGGGGAGCATCGCTGCACAGCTATTTCCAGGTCTCTCCAGAGATGTTCGATCGGGTTCAAGTCCGGGCTCTGGCTGGGCCACTCAAGGATATTCAGAGACTTGTCCCGAAGCCACTCCTGCGTTGTCTTGGCTGTGTGCTTAGGGTCGTTGTCCTGTTGGAAGGTGAACCGTCGCCCCAGTCTGCGGTCCTGAGCGCCTTGGAGCAGGTTTTCATCAAGGATCTCTCTGTACTTTGCTCCATTCATCTTTCCCACAATCCTGACTAGTCTCCCATTCCCTGCCACTGAAAAACCTCCCCACAACATGATGCTGCCACCACCATGTGACGCTTGGCATTCTGGCTAAAGTGTTCAATCTTGGTTTCATCAGACAAGAGAATCTTGTTTCTCATGGTCTGAGAGTCCTTTAGGTGCCTTTTGGCAAACTCCAAGCGGGCTGTCATGTGCCTTTTACTGAGGAGTGGTTCTGTCTGGCCAAGCTACCATAAAGGCCTGATTTGGTGGAGTGCTGCAGATATGGTTGTCCTTCTGGAAGGTTCTCCCATCTCCACTGAGGAACTCTGTCAGAGTGACCATAGTTTCTTGGTCACCTCCCTGACCAAGGCCCTTCTCCCCCGATTGCTCAGTTTGGCCGGGCGGCCAGCTCTAGGAAGAGTCTTGGTGGTTCCAAACTTTTTCCATTCAAGAATGATGGAGGCTACTGTGTTCTTGGGGACTTTCAATGCTGCAGACATTTTTTGGTACCCTTCCCCAGATCATTGCCTCGACACAATCCTGTCTCGGAGCTCTACGGACAATTCCTTCGACCTCATGGCTTGGTTTTTGCTCTGACATGCACTGTCAGCTGTGGGACCTTTATATAGACAGGTGTGTGTGCCTTTCCAAATCATGTCCAATCAATTGAATTTACCACAGGAGGACTCCAATCAAGTTGTAGAAACATCAAGGATGATCAATGTAAACAGGATGCACCTGAGCTCAATTTCGAGTCTCATAGCAAAGGGTCTGAATACTTATGTAAATAAGGTATTTCTATTTTTAATAAATGTGCAGAAAATTCTACAAACCTGTTTTTGCTTTGTCATTATCAGGTATTGTGTGTAGATTGAGGAAAAACATGTATTTAATCAATTTTCGAATAAGGCTGTAACGTAACAAAATGTGGAAAAAGTCAAGGGGTCTAAATACTTTCCGAAGGCGCTGTATTCTTTAAAATCTTGCTTGCATTATAATTTTGAAGACCATTTTCCAATGAACGAACTTAAGGTCCTTTCCTTCTGAGTGAAGGTCTTTTCCTTCTGTCATTTTATGCACTTTGAGTCCTGCTATATCTGTTAAGAGTTAAAAGATGTGAGTTGAGCACACCAACCCTCCTCACCTTGCTCCTTGGCCCTGTCTGAGGTGATGGCAGCACTGCTGCTGTAGACAGTGGCTCCAGGGGTGGGGCCCATGCAGCCCCCTGTCTTCACCCTGGGGGTGTCGGAGGACGAGGGGCCCCCCGCCCCCCAGCTGGAGCAGCCACTGTCCATCCCGTTCCCGTCACCACCGGGAAAGGTCAGCGATCCAGAGCGCTTGCACCCGACTGACTCGAGGTCAGATTTCTCTGAAGATCTGTCAACTATGGTCATTGTTCATTGCTGTTGGAAAAAAACACAAATAGAGAGGATGATGTTAGGTAATGCTGTTTCTTTAGCTACTAACCTATGCCTAGTTGGGAGAACTGTGAACTGTGTCTGTGACAAAAATCATCCTGGAGGTAGGACACATGAAGTAACACCTAGGAATATACAAGTAAACATATTGAACAAGACTGTAGCTCTAGAGGAGGATTAAAGAGTTTTACAGAAACCGTAACCTCCCATAAACCACCCAAAAGCATCCTATGTTCCATTTCAAACTCAGATGAACTCCTGGAACTCTAATGGGTCAGTGCTACCATCCACTTTGAAGATGCAGATTGTGGCGAGTTCAGTGCACTGTACAAAAATGTAATACATTCTTAGAACCTATCCTACACAGCAACAGTTAAATGTTTGTGACAATCATACTTATTTTCTATGTTTTGAGTGTCACGTGACTAACATTTTTCCAGTGCCCAAACAAATCAACTGATTGTGTTATCCTGGGTCGGATTTCAGTGCGTAGGTAGCCCCAATCACACAGAGCATCAACCAGGATTTACCTGCTCAATTACCAGCAGACCACGTGTAACCACGCCAGCCCAGGACGTCCACATCCGGCTTTTTCACCTGCGGGATCGTCTGAGACCAGCCAACCGGGCAGCTGATGAAACTGTGGGTTTGGACAAATGAAGAATTTCTGCACAAACTGTCAGAAACCGTCTCAGGGAAGCTCATCTGCATGCTCGTCGTCCTCACCAGGGTCTTGACCTGGTGCAGTTTGGCGTCGTAACCGACTTCAGTGGGCAAATGCTCACCTTCGATGGCCACTGGAGAAGTGTGCTCTTCATGGAAGAATCCCAGTTTCAACTGTACAGGGCAGATGGCGTCATGTGGGCGAGCGGTTTGCTGATGTCAACGTTGTGAACAGAGTGCCCCATGGGGGCGGTGGGGTTATGGTATGGGCAGTCATAAGCTACGGACAATAAACACAATTGCATTTTATCAATGACAATTTGAATGCACAGAGATACCGTGATGAGATCCTGAGGCCCATTGTCCTTCCATTCATCCGCCGCCATCACCTCATGTTTCAGCATGATAATGCACGGCCCATGTCGCAAGGATCTGTACACAATTCATGGAAGCTTAAGATGTCCCAGTTCTTCCATAGCCTGCATACTCACCAGACATGTCACCCATTGAGCATGTTTGGGATGCTCTGGATTGACGTGTACAACCGCGTGTTCCAGTTCCCACCAATTCCCGCAACTTCACATAGCCATTGAAGGAGTGGGACAACATTCCACAGGCCACAATCAACAGCCTGATCAACTGTATGCGAAGGAGATGTGTAACGCTGCATGAGGCAAATTGTGCTCACACCAGATACTGACTGGTTTTCTGATCCACGCCCCTATGTTCTTTTTATGGTATCTGTGACCAACAGATGCATGTCTGTATTCCCAGTCATGTGAAATCCATAGATTATGGCCTAATTTATTTATTTCAATTGACTTATTTCCTTATATGAACTGTAACTCAGTAAAATATTTTAAATTGTTGCATGTTGTGTTTATATTTTTGTTCAGTGTAGCTTGCTACTATTGAAGTCACATGGACAACATTGTAGCTAGTGGTAATGACAGGTGACATACAGGAACAATTACTAAAGTGAAACCAGAGATGGATGATGAAGGGAGACATCTCACTCCCTCATTTTTTCTGGTTCAGTCAATGAACTAAGCAGACCAGACCCAGCTGCTATAGCATTATGCAGACCAGGACTGTGACAATTATTTTCAATGGTAAAAGGCCTGAGTAAGACATCTTCATTTATGCACCATCTTTGGTGAAAGATTTAAGGGAAAGAAACCATATTTCACCGAAATCAGAAGAGGGCAGCCTTAAAGGGGCAATCAGCAGTAGAAACAATAAAAAAAATCCCGACCCTGTTTCGGTAAAAAGATGAGGGATGGGGCTGGAGAAATGTAACCACTCTCAAATTTATAGACAGAGCTATGGATGCAAGACCTGACCATCCAGGTAGCTTAGTGGTTAAGAGCCTAGTGCCAGTAGTGGTTCTAATCCCCGAGCCGACTAGGTGAAAAATCTGTCGATGTGCCCTTGAGCAAGGCACTTAACCCTAATTGCTCCTGTAAGTCGCTCTGGATAAGAGCGTCTGCTAAATGACCAAAAAAAAAAAAAAAATCACATGCTATACAGTGTTTGTTTACATTTACTTTATTTACAAACATTGGAGTAAAACACGCTTCTATTTTGGGTTCTGATGGAGTATGACAGTTGACCTAAACTCGAGGCATTTTAGTTTTTAGAAAGATAAACTTGAAATGGGCATGGTCTAATTGACTCAACAACCAAACACACGTCTATGTTTAGCGTTCTTAATGAACCAGAAAAGAATATGTTATTTCTGGTTGTTTATCAAAGTTAACTGGCTAAGTTTAAATGTATTGATCCTGCTTTATAGTATACCACTCTGCTGTCTGGGCAAGAAGCTGACTTAGCTAGCATTATTTAGCACATAGAACGCTAACAACAGCTAACGTTAGTATAGTACCTAGCGGGGACGCAATTTCCCCATTTTACCTAGCAGGGACGCAATTTCCCCATTTTACCTAGCAGAGACGCAATTTCCCGTAGCAAACTAGCTAACTATTACTAATCACAAATAAACAAAATTAGCTACATCGATTTTAACTTCTCAATAAATAAAAGTAGTATTCGTTGGACTTTCAAGTGGCAATCGTTTCAAACAAATAATGTTAGCCATTAAGAGAACGACCTTTTACACGCACGTTTACGACAACTGACTGTTCTTCCCAAGTCCCACCTCTGCCTGGCAGTCTGGCTGGTTGAGGCTGTAGCAAACGAGATAGGCCTCTAACACGTAATTCAAAAGATCAGAAAATATCATCTCAAACTGTCTTACCCTGTCTTTGAAACAAATGTTCAGAAAGTAAATAAATGTATTTTTTATGAACACGTTCAGAATGTCTTATTCTGAGGTGTGCGCGCATGGAAACCACAAACCCCATGGTAACGGCAAAACGTGGCTAACTGCGGAAACGGGCTATGAGCATTGTCATTGTGCAACAATAATGAGCTACGTTAGTTAGCACTCATTGGTTACAATGCAAGGTAGCTGGCCTTTTCGGTTGTAAAACAATAAATATGGTGTTTATGTATTGTTCCTTGATAAACCTGAGACTTTATCGCCGAACCATTTTAGCATTCACAGGTTTATCTATAGGAAAGATGGCCAGCTAGCTGCTAAGCTAACTACGTTCTAAAAGGAGGGGCTCGAGATTTAAAATTCACTGGTGGTTGAGCGCTCGCCTCCGACATCACACTCAGTGAGCCGCCCGGTGTAGGCTAACTACAGAAAAACCCAATGGGTTAAATTATTTTGACTTCTCCAAATAGACAAATACAATGCTCAGTATTTAATACAACAGAAATGCCCTTACCTGTAATTTTTTATAAATGTATTATTAGACGTGTAAATCCATTTATTATTTCCAGTTGTATTCAGTCTGTGAACAATGACGTAGCTAATTTCCCCACGGGTAAATCCGGGTACTACCGATGAAAGGCAACTCTTGATTCGCTGAGGCTCGGCGTGGAACGTGTTCACAGGAGTCGTAGAAAGCACGTACACGTCTTGACCTTCGTGGTGACATACAACGGGTAAACCGTTAAAAACTGTTAATTAATGGAGAATTTGTATGCATTATATTGGATTTGGATCGTTTTCAATCCCGAATGTAATGTGTGAGTGTGCTATGCCTATTTACTTAGAAAACAAAGCTTATACAACAACTGTACTCCCAGACGGTTCATGACTGTCTGATGCATGCGTAACAATAATTAACGGGAGTGAGTGTGTCTTATTAATTGCCTAGAATTCAAGTGTGGTCAAACAAATACCTGCCTTGTTGGCTTGATTACCTTCATCATATGAGTATATTAATCTCAACCACAAATTATGTAAATTAATCTTGACCAGATAAAAAATATTCAGTGTGCAATGAGACTCAAGATGAGTGTAAATTAAATAAGATTTATTGTACAGTTTTAAAATGTTAAATAATGGCACATTGTAACAGCCACACACACACATTCAACCATTTGCACCAAATGATTCATGTGGTAAGGTAAAGGGTTTGAATATAACAGGTTTGAAGATGGGCAGAGATGGTTGATGTCAGTTCTTGTCCATTGGAAGGGATGCTTGTTGCGTGCTCTGAGTCTGTAGCTGACTGATCTGTCTCCTGAGTTGAACTATCTCCTCTTCCTGCTCTTCAACTCTTCTCTGCAAGCCATGGATAACCTGGAAGGAGATGAGGGCCATTGGAGAGGTTTGATCTGTGATACCAAAGTGTAACATTATTTTCCTGATATTTACTTTTAGTAGTTTTGTACCAGATTGAACCTGGTTGCAGTGTCTGAAAGTGACCTAGGTCAAATAATTATAGCCAAGCAATACTACTAACATTTGGCTCATGTGTGTTTGAACTTGTTCAATAGCAGCGTAAATATGGCAAGCTGAAATTCAACAACAAGTACATCAAGCACATATCTATCAAAATAGTAGTCTCCTTCCCAGCCAAGCTGAAATTCAACAACAAGTACATCAAGCACATATCTATCAAAATAGTAGTCTCGTTCCCAGCCAGCCTGGTCATCCATACCATGTCTTTGCTGCTGAACAGCTCGCTCTGCAGCAGCTGTGTGGCGCTGGGTCGTAGAGAGGGGTCTCTGCTGGTCAGCAGTGTGATGTACTTGGCCAGGACAGGCCAGCCCTGGGAGAAGGAGTCTGGGACCTTCCCGTCACGGAGGTCCCCTAGTGTACGCACACGCTCCATCTCTGTCCCAAAGGGCTGGAACAGCTCCAGGGCCACCACTCCTATACTGTACATGTCTGACTGTAGGGCAGAAGAAAAGGTATAGTGATCCAAATATGTTTTATATGTTGTTTTACTGTGTATCAATTGGTTTATAAATACAATTGTTATATTATCATCATTATAATTCAATAAAAGTTTGTTTTATGTAGAAAACTCACACTGATTGTGCCCAGTAATTTTGGTGTGTCAAATATTTCTGAAATGATGGAGATGATTTACCTTTGAATCATAGTGGGAGCCCTCCAGTTGTTCAGGTGCAGCGTAAACAAATGTCCCCACTCCAGTGGTGTGTGAGGAACCTACAGAAAGAGTACAAGCAGTGTCAAAAATACACACAGTACCAGAACCAGCCAGGGAAAATGTGGGTTCAAGTTCAATGTTGTGTCATAGAAAGGGATTTGGATGCATAGAGCCACAACCCCATCTACTGGCGATTTCAGGACTTACACCTATACCCACTTTGATTTGATACCCTGTATACATCTTTGAGATGTTGAATGTTTACATAGCTATATATTGTAACAACTGTTACAACCACTGAGCTTGTGTCGATAGACACATTAGAAAAAGAGATTCAATCCGTTTCTCACCGGTGTTCTGTGAGGAGGTGGAGGGTGGCTTTTCCTCCTCATCCTTTATGATGGCCCGGCAAGCCAGTCCAAAGTCTCCAATCCTCACATGGCAGTCATGTCCATGCAGGAAAATATTCCTGGGCTATAAAACAAAAAGCATACAAAATGTAAAACATTCACATAATATCACATTTTTATGGTGAGTGTGAGGTCATAATGCTATTGGAGATTCTAAAACAAGGATTCTACTCTAAAATGCACAATTCTATTTTGTCATTACCACTAGGCCACATTAATGCTTTAGTATATTGATCAACTTTTTAAAAAATTCATTTCAAATAGGTAATATTAGTAACAAACCATGTCTTAACCCCTAATTCATGCATTATACACTGAGTGTACAAAACATTAGTAACACCTGCTCTTTCCATGACAGACTGCCAGGCTAATCCAGTTGAAAGCTATGATCCCTTATTGATGTCACCTGTTAAATCCACATCAATCAGTGTAGATGAAGGGGAGGAGACAGGTTAAAGAAGGATTTTTTTAAAGCTTTGAGACATTTGAGACATGGATTGTGTATTTGTACCATTCAGAGGGTGAATGGGCAAGACAAAATATTTAAGTGCCTTTGAATGGGGTATGGTAGCAGGTGCCAGGCGCACCGGTTTGAGTGTGTGAAAAACTGCAACACTGCTGGGTTTTTCACACTCAACAGTTTCCAATGTGTATCAAGAATGGTCCACCACCCAAAGGACATCCAGCCAACTTGACACAGCTGTGGGAAGCATTGGAGTCAACATGGGCCAAACCCCATGTGGAACGCTTTCAACACCTTGTAGAGTCCATGCACCGACGAATTGAGGCTTTTCTGAGGGCAAAATGGGGTGCAACTCAATTTGATAATTTGCTATTTAAAATTCATGAAGCAATAGTTAGAGCTGTGTCTAGTATTATCAAATCTCACCCCGACAACGAGCCTGTTCAGATTTGGAAATACTGTACTGTTTTTTTCTACACTTTAAAGCCAGGTAAGTGTTTAAAAACATGTTTCTGTCATTTTCTCTAGCCTAAATATCTGCCAGTGCGTTATCAGTCACAGGGTCTGATACCCTGTGAATGATGACGTTTCCAAACTTGCCTATTATTGAGAAACAGCATCAGAGCACTGACAAGAGTACAGCACTGTAATTTACTGTTTGCTGCAAGGCTACTGTTGAGGCTGAAAACCAGAATTTCACGATAACCAAACGCACAGCTTTTCAATAATGTAGAGCAGGGTTTCTCAAACGTTTTTTGGCCCGCGACCCCATTCTGATATAAACATTTTTTTGCAACCCCACCATGTAAAAAAAAAAAAGGTGATGTAATCAACGGCCAATATTTACTTTTTTAATTGGGGCTATGACAGTCTATTACAAATCAGTCTGACAATACGTTTGACAGTATTTCAATCTGAAGACAGTAAAACTGAAGGAAGTATGGTTTGAAGTGACTGAAATGCATCAGAAAGGTATTGGGAAGTTGAGAAGATCCTCAGGCAATAATTTTTTATGATCTTCTGCGTAGAAGATGATGATGATGTTCTTTTTCCCCCAGTCGGATTTACTGTCTGATCTTGTCCACTGTTCTAATGAGGCTTGTGGGCATTGTGTTCCTGAGAGTATTATCTTTCAGTGATGGGGTTAACATATTTTGTAGTTTGAACCGTTCCAAAGATAGAGCCACATTGGTAGGAAGAAAACAGAAACCGCTGTTTATTACAACCGCATCTAGCGGTTACCGGAGGTTACTGACATAACCCCATAACCCCAGTACTATGAACCAAGCGCAAATCTTATTTTTTGAAACCCCATTTTATAATCGACCTCTTTGGGAAACGCTGAATGTAGAGCAAAGCGACAATCGCTTTATTAGGATCTTCTACCTATGAAGTATGGAAACAAACGTCAACTTTTCAGATGCTGAATTTAGGGCTGTCCTCAACTTAAAAAAATATTGGTCAACCAAGAGTCGTCCTGTTCTTTCGACCAATCGATTGGTCGAAATGTTTAAACTTATTTTTTCCATATATAGACAGACACACATTTTACATTTAGCAGACGCTCTTATCCAGAGCGACTTACAGTTAGTGTGAGTGCATACATTTATTTTCATTTTTTTCCTTCATACTTTGAATAAAACCAACTACATATGCACTGAGCTTGTCTGATGCTTTAAGCACACTGTTTGATTAAATAATTAAGACACACAAATGACTCAAGAAAGAGTCCAACGGTCACACTGTATATTTAAAAAAAAAATGACAGGGAGTGCCTGTGTGACTGGCGCACGTTGTCTCTCTCTCCTCCCTACTGCAGCGAAACCGCAACACAGCACAGCAAGTGATTATTGCACTGTCCGTGCTGAAGCTGCAACATCATTTCAGCCATTTAGTTTCTTACTTGTTTCTGACTGAAAAGTTCTGTTACCGAAATCCCTAATTTGTTTAGGATAAACATTCCCTCAACCCCTTGCTCTCTTTACGTGAAACATGTACCGGTAAGCATTGCATGCATGTGACCAATAGGACCTAAAGCCTGTCATAATCACATCAATACATTGGTTATAACAAACTCTGAACACAGTAATGTCGACAGCAAAATGGATGCGGAGGACGTGAAAAAGAATCTCGAAACGGGCCAATGTTTACAGGTTGTTCAGGAGGGATTGGGGAAGTCAGATCTTTGAAAGACAAATCACTTAGTTGTGGAAGCTACTGGAAATCAAGAAAAAGGAGGGTATAGGCGCAAGTGTTGCGTAAGTATTTTGTGTGCCAAACAGTTGCTGTTAGATTACAATATTATGATTTTTTCGGACCATTTGGAACACTTAATAAGTAAGTGTAAAGGAGTGTTCTAACGAAAGAAAAAATATATATAAAGCCTTTATTACAGTAGACTAAAAACTGTTGCATGCATTCGTGAATTGCGGTTCATTTATTGTTTAGGTTAATTATTCAAAGCTCCCTTTGTTATTTAATTTTAAAACTAAAATGCTTGATTGCATTTCAAAGCATGAATGTCTCGTATGCTGTGTGATGGCATGAACGAATGAATGATTGATCAATACAGTACAGTTACGGTCTTAAGACTAAACAGGACGCGATCTTAGGCCTACAGCTCAATGGTGGTTATACTGACCCTACTAATGATAAGGACATTACTTATTATTATAATGATGATCATAATAATAATAGTAGTAATAACAATAAGAAGTAGATCTAGAAAAAGGAGGGTATAGGAGTGAGAGCTGCGTGCATATTATGTGCGACAAACAGGTGCAGTTAGATTACAATATTACTTTTCTGCCTGTTTAGAACAGTGTAAACAACACTAAATAATTCAGTAATACCAGTCTGTTCTAACCAAAAAATAATGTAAAGCCTTTATTACAGCATAGCAAAGATGAAAAACAGCTGAATCTGTGAAATTGCTTTACCGACATTTTGCAATTGCATGAGGCTTGGTGCTCACCGAATCAGCTATTAAACAAACACTTGAACAGGAAACAGAAGCAAGATCTGTCTTATTTCTGTAGATATATATGGAGGATTTATAAAGCCAGGCACATTTAACAGTTAGGCTATTGATTATAGACCTAATTAAGTTAGGTTGCCTCTCTCTTCAATTTCCTTAGACAATTAGGCTAAGGCAAGGGCTGTTTCCTCATCTCTGCTGCTGCTGTCTTCACCGCATTGTTCTCAATCCCAATATGCTGATTAACTTTGCTGTTATGCACATAGCAACATAGGGAAAGGCACCAATTCTACGGCGCACTGAAGATGATCTTTCAGAACCGTGGAGAGCGAGCGTATCCAACACGAGAGAAAACACATTTGTTATAAAATATTAGATTTATTAGTGTTGCACCATTCTTTTTACATAACATAACTATATACAATTTCAGTATCACGTCTTTTTTTTTTGGGGGGGGGGGGGGGGGGGGGGGTAGATCAGATTTAATATTGCAGATAGATTGTAACTTCCATCAAATGTAATTGTCTTCATCACTTCCAATGATATGCAGAGATATATGCTATTGATGTACAGTTGAAGTCGGAAGTTTACATACACCTTAGCCAAATACATTTAAACTCAGTTTTTCACAATTCCTGACATTTAATCCAAGTAAAAATTCCCTGTTTTAGGTCAGTTAGGATCACCACAAGCTTCCCACAATAACTTGGGTGAATTTTGGCCCATTCCTCCTGACAGAGCTGGTGTAACTGAGTCAGGTTTGTAGGCCTCCTTGCTCGCACACGCTTTTTCAGTTCTGCCCACACATTTTCTATAGGATTGAGGTCAGGGCTTTGTGATGGCCACTCCAATACCTTGACTTTGTTGTTCTTAAGCCATTTTGCCACAACTTTGGAAGTATGCTTGGGGTCATTGTCCATTTGGAAGACCCATTTGCGACCTAGCTTTAACTTCCTGACTGATGTCTTGAGATGTTGCGTCAATATATCCACATAATTACCCTTCCTCATGATGCCATCTATTTTGTGAAGTGCACCAGTCCCTCGTGCAGCAAAGCACCCCCACAGCATGATGCTGCAACCCCCGTGCTTCACGGTTGGGATGGTGTTCTTCGGATTGCAAGCCTTCCCCTTTTTCCTCTAAACATAACGATGGTCATTATGGCCAAACAGTTCTATTTTTGTTTCATCAGACCAGAGGACATTTCTCCAAAAAGTACGATATTTTGTTGCAAACCGTAGTCTGGCTTTTTTTTATGGCGGTTTTGGAGCAGTGGCTTCTTCCTTGCTGAGCGGCCTTTCAGGTTATGTCGATATAAAACTAGTTTTACTGTGGATATAGATACTTTTGTACCTGTTTCCTCCAGCATCTTCACAAGGTCCTTTGCTGTTTTTCTGGGATTGATTTGCACATTTCGCACCAAAGTACGTTCATCTTTAGGAGACAGAAAGCGTCTCCTTCCTGAGTGGTATGACGGCTGCGTGGTCCCATGGTGTTTATCCTTGCGTACTATTGTTTGTACAGATGAACGTGGTACCTTCAGGCGTTTGGAAATTGCTCCCAAGGATGAACCAGACTTGTGGAGGTCTACACATTTTTTTCGGAGGTCTTGGCTGATTTCTTT